AGAAAAACCCAAAGACTCCAAAGATGTGACGTGTATTTATTTATGTTTTTGGTTAATCTCATTTTTCCGTCTGATTTTAGTGATTTTTTGTTGGCTTTGGCTTTTGGTTTCTGTTTATAGTTTCGTCTTAGTTATAACCTACTGTGTTTTGCAATAATTTTGGTGCTACCTGTGGGTGCTACGTTGAAAACTTCGAGAAAAACTTCATTGATTCACCATGCATCTGCACCATAAAAAGAAACGGGTATAACAACTAATTGATAATCAATTTATCACTGGACTAGATTCCGAAATCATTTTTCACATAAGAGAGTAATACACAAAGCAGTGGAGTAATACCACCATCTGTATTTGGAAGGAAAATACCTATTTATCATTGAATGAATAGTTAAAAGGATTCACCTTTTAATACAATACCTATATTACATTTGTCCTCGGTTTAAAAGACATTTATAAAATATATTATTTTAGTGTTAATAAAATGTAATATCCTAGTCTCTACTTCACATTTAAATTATTGATAGGTATTTTAAAGATTTGAGATTATATACCTATTTGCTGCAAGTAAGTATTCGTTAAATATGTATTATTATTTGTATTTATTTTTATCTAATAATATTATTTAAGTTATTAATAAACATATTTTAAGAATGTTCTATTTTATTGTTTATTGATATATCTTATATTTATTTAATAATAATATGCAGAACCAACTCTTCACATCAGACCCCTGCTTATAACAAATTAATTCCTCAAATTTGGTATAATCGACCTAAATTATTTTGTAAAATAAAAGTTTCGAACTTACTAGTTCCATTCTTTATTTTATAAAATAATTTATGTGGAAATCATTTAAAATTTAATTTAAAACTACTACCTAATTCTAAAAATTACAATTTGAATTTACCGCCATCTGTCAATTGTCATTTTAGTTCCAGCTCCAAACACAAGGTGGCGCCAATTTGGTTTAAAAGTTTAACATTGGCGTGGGGTCTCTAGAAGATAGGTGCTTTGTGGTGCCAACTCTTTAACAAGTGAGATGCACTACTATAGGGGATATATTGTGATAGAGACAATAAAACCAATCACAACTTTACAATTCAGATCGAAAACACGTTTCCTTTGTGATTCACCCATAGCCAGTGTTGCCAGAATATATTTTTGTAATGTACCAGATTTATTTAAAAAATGTACCAGATTTCATAAAAATGTACTAGATTCTATAAAATTACCAGATTTTTCTAATTATGAAGTATGGTCATTAAAGAGCAAAAAAAGGTTTATAGAGAACACGAACACAACAATTTTAAACAATATTTTATCTCTCGACAAATTTCTGACACTATTTTATCTCTCGAGCAGTTTTTGAATAAGATTTTAATACCTTTTGATACTCTTTTATCTCTCGAACAGTTTTTAAATCTTTTTTTATCTCTTGAGCTATTTTGAAACAATATTTTATCTCTCGATAAATTTCTAACAGTATTCTATCTCTCGAGCAATTTTTAACAATTTTTTTTTATCCCTCGAGCAATGTTTGTACAATTTTTTTTTTTTAATTTTTAACACTATTTAATCACTCGAGCAATTTTTAACAGTTTTTCATCTTTCAAGCAAACAATATTTGATATCTCGTGCAATTTTTGAGCAAAATTTTAACAATTTCTAACACTATTTTATCTCTCGAGCAATTTTTGAAAAAGATTTTACACCTTTTGATAATATTTTATCTCTTGAACAGTTTTTAAACAATTTTAAACAAATATCTAACAGTATTTTATCTCTCAATTTTTAACAACTTCTTTTATCTCTCGAGCAATATTTGTACAATATTTTTTTCAACACTATTTAATCATCACTCTAGCAATTTTTAACAGCCTTTTTTACCTTTTAAGCTATTTTTGAACCATATTTGATCTCATGTGCAATTTTTGAGCAACATTTTAACCATTTCTAACACTATTTTATCTCTCGAGCAATTTTTGAAAAAGATTTTAATACCTTTTGATATTATTTTATCTCTCGAACAGTTTTTAAAAAATATTTTTTTATCTCTTGAGCTATTTTGAAACAATATTTTATCTCTCGATAAATTTCTAACAGTATTCTATCTCTCGAGCAATTTTTAACAACTTTTTTTTATCCCTCGAGCAATGTTTGTACAATTTTTTTTTTTTAATTTTTAACACTATTTAATCACTCGAGCAATTTTTAACAGTTTTTCATCTTTCAAGCAAACAATATTTGATATCTCGTGCAATTTTTGAGCAAAATTTTAACAATTTCTAACACTATTTTATCTCTCGAGCAATTTTTGAAAAAGATTTTAATACCTTTTGATATTATTTTATCTCTCGAACAGTTTTTAAATCTTTTTTTATCTCTTGAGCTATTTTGAAACAATATTTTATCTCTCGATAAATTTCTAACAGTATTCTATCTCTCGAGCAATTTTTAACAATTTTTTTTTATCCCTCGAGCAATGTTTGTACAATTTTTTTTTTTTAATTTTTAACACTATTTAATCACTCGAGCAATTTTTAACAGTTTTTCATCTTTCAAGCAAACAATATTTGATATCTCGTGCAATTTTTGAGCAAAATTTTAACAATTTCTAACACTATTTTATCTCTCGAGCAATTTTTGAAAAAGATTTTACACCTTTTGATAATATTTTATCTCTTGAACAGTTTTTAAACAATTTTAAACAAATATCTAACAGTATTTTATCTCTCAATTTTTAACAACTTCTTTTATCTCTCGAGCAATATTTGTACAATATTTTTTTTAACACTATTTAATCACTCTAGCAATTTTTAACAGCCTTTTTTACCTTTTAAGCTATTTTTGAACCATATTTGATCTCATGTGCAATTTTTGAGCAACATTTTAACCATTTCTAACACTATTTTATCTCTCGAGCAATTTTTGAAAAAGATTTTAATACCTTTTGATATTATTTTATCTCTCGAACAGTTTTTAAAAAACCTTTTTTTATCTCGAGCTATTTTTAAAAAATATTTTATCTCTCGATAAATTTCCAACAGTATTCTATCTCTCGAGCAATCTTTAACAACTTTTTTTTTATGCCTCGAGCAATGTTTGTACAATTTTTAACACAATTTAATCACTCGAACAATTTTTAACAGTTTTTTTACCTTTCAAGCTATTTTTGAACAATATTTGATCTCTTGTGCAATTTTTGAGTAAAATTTTAACAATTTCTAACACTATTTTATCTCTCGAGCAATTTTTGAAAAAGATTTTACACCTTTTGATAATATTTTATCTTTTTAAACAATTTTAAACAAATTTCTAACAGTATTTTATCTCTCGAGAAATTTTTGTACAAATTTTTTTGTACAAGTTTTAACACTTTTTAATCACTCAAGCAATTTTTAACAGCTTTTTTACCTTTCAAGCTATTTTTGAACAATATTTGATCTCTCGTGCAATTTTTGAGCAAAATTTTAATAATTTCTAACACTATTTAATCTCTCGAGCAATATTTATTAACATTTTTTATCTTTCTAACAATTTTTAAACAATGTTTTATCGCTCGAGAAATGTTTAACAGTATTTTTTAATTCTCGAGTAATTTTTGAATAAGATTTTAATAACTTATAAGACTATTTTACCTTTCGAACAGTTTTTAAACCTTTTTTTATCTCTTGAGCTATATTTAAACAATATTTTATCTTTCGATAAATTTCTAACATTTATTCTATCTCTCGAGCAATTTTTAACAACTTCTTTATCTCTTTAGCAAACTGCACAATATTTTAACTCTTGACAAATTTATAAAAATATATTAACTCTCGATAAATGTTTAACAATGTTTTATATCTCCAGCAATGTTTGTACAATATATTATCTCTTGAGCATTTTCTAATAGTATTTTTTCGTTCGAGGAATTTTTAAACAATGTTTTATCGCTCGAGAAATGTTTAACAGTATTTTTTAATTCTCGAGTTATTTTTCAATAAGATTTTAATAACTTATGATACTATTTTACCTCTCGAACAATTTTTAAACCTTTTTTTATCTCTTGAGATATATTTAAACAATATTTTATCTTTCGATAAATTTCTAACATTATTCTATCTCTCGAGCAAGTTTTAACAACTTTTTTATCTCTTTTAACTCTCGATAAATTTATAAAAATATTTTAACTCTCGATAAATTTTTGACAATGTTTTATATCTCGAGCAATGTTTGTAAAATTATCTCTCGAGCATTTTTTAATAGTACTTTATCGTTCGAGGAATTGTTAAACAATGTTTTATCTCTCGAGAAATTTCTAATAGTAGGTATGTCTTGAATCAATTTTGAACAATATTTTATTTCTCAACAAATTTTTCAATAGTATTTTATCCGTCAAGCAATTTTTGAACAAGGGTTTAACATTTTGTAATACTATTTTACCTCGAGCAATTTTTGAACACGATTTTAACAATTTATAATACTATTTAATCTCTGGAAAAATTATTAAATATTTTTATCTATCATTAAATTTCTAACAGTATTTTTATCCCTAGAGCAATTTTTGAACAATATTTTACCTCTCAAGCAATTTCTAATACTATTTTATACTTCGACCATTTTTTAACACCCTTTTTACCTCTTAAGCCATTTTTAAACAATATTTAATCTCTCGTGTAATTTTTAAACAATGTTTTATCTCTCGAGAAATGTCTACTATTTTATCTCTGAAGTAATTTTTAACAACTATTTTAATTTCTCTTGCAATTTTTGACCAATATATTTTACACTTCAAATGAAACATACGCTGAAAAAGTACTAGATATTGTTTCGAGTGTACTAGAGTACAAGATTCTCAGAGAATGTACTAGATCTAGTACAATTGTACTAGACTGGCAACACTGCCCATAGCCCATAGAAAAACAAAAATTCACCAATCTTCTTCTTTTTCTTTGCTTGGGCTTAAACTAAATTCACCAATCGACCAATAAATAAATTTTCTTCTTTTTCTCTTTCTATCTACTTCTACTCCTGTATTTGAACCTATTTTCAAATAAAACAAGGCCAACAAAAAGTAGAAGAAAAAAATGTCAAATTTTCAAATTGACGTAATATGTGAAAAAGTTGAAAAATTATTGTGTATCTAAAATGGTAAATTAAATAAAAAATATGAGACCTTCATTACTTATTAAATTAGTCAATTTACAGAATGGTATAATCTTGGCTGGACTAGGCTTGGCCGCTGTGGGGTTTGTCGGTCGTTATGCTCTTAGACAAATGCCCAATGCTGCCAAGAATTTTAATGAAGCCCTTAAAAATTTTCCAAAATTCGATGCCGCTTCTGTAGGGAATTCGAAGTATTACAAAGGAGGATTTGATCCGAAGATGAATAGAAGAGAAGCTGCTTTAATTCTAGGTATTTTAACATTTTGCCTGTTATTTCGAAGGTTAATGCACATTTTTTTCAGGAGTTAGTCCAAGTGCTAATAAACTTAAGGTAAAGGACGCTTTTAAAAAAGTAATGGCTGCTAATCACCCAGACAGAGGTGGTTCTCCATATATAGCATCTAAAATAAACGAGGCTAAAGACTTTTTAGAAAAACACTCAAGAATTTAAGGAATGCATAAAATAGTTTATTTCCATTGTAAATAGATGTAAATAAAAATAATAAATTGAAAATCTTAATTATAGACTAGATTTTGTGCTTTTAACAAATTATAATGTCTTTTATAGAAAAACTTTGGTTTATTTTGTTCTTTCTTGGTTATATTTGGCTCTTAGCTTAGACAATGTAGAATTGGACAAGTTCCCAGATAGTCTGAATACCTCCTAAAAAAAATTAAAATTAAAACAATCAGACACCTGTCAATTTTATCTTGAGGCAGTTGTCAAATTTTGTATTTTGCCTGCCATACTTACTTGCATGAACTGGTGACAGTTAATCACTGACTCATGGTTTCTCATGTCTCTAAAACAGCCTATTAACTCTCCCAACTCACTAGTTTGTAAAATTTTGTCTTTGTGCAGCCTTATTAGAGTAATTGCAACCCTAAAAATAATTTTTGATCCTTCATTGAATAAACAATCCCATATTCTGAACACAGTTTCTGCAGGCAATACCTCAGAATACAAGCAAATGAACCATTTGGTAGTTCCCATTGCCCAGGGCATGCCTACATTTTGTATATGCCTATGTACGACTGGCTCATACTTATGAACTAATTCATCTAAAACATCGAGATCAATCAAGAGGCCTGTCATAGTAACAATGTAGTATTGAGGTAGAATTTTTTCAACTAGTGCTTTTAGCAACCAAAAGGAGGCTTCTTCGTCTTTTGTTGCCAATAATAACAGCCCTGCTATGTAATTGAGGCCCTGGCAGTAACCAACATCTTTATTTTGATGTGCAAATGTTGCTAGGACATTGAAGAGCATTTTTGGAAGGTATTCATGAGCACTAAAGAAGATATTTTCTAAAACAAAATGATATTTTTGAACAATTATATAGAAATGTGCCTCATGCAGTAGATATTGTTCAATGTCTTTACTGATTTATCGGCAGCAAAAAATAAATTATAATTTATGGAATTATTTGAATATTAAAAACAAAGTGAATATATAAATTCTCCTGGGAACAACAGCTACAACTACACTTTCATATAAAAACTAAAGAAAGTCACCTGGTAACATAATAAATTTGAACTGTGTCATACAAGTGCTGTACACAAATTTAACAATTATGTTTAATTTCTTACTGAATAATTACACATTAGTTTACAATATTTAATTATCATACCTGGAAAAGTTCTGGGTAAATCAATTTGAATTATATCAATAATATACTGATTATCAATTTTTTCTCTCAAATTATTGTAGGTAGAAGAACTATTAGTCCTAATCTCTTCTCCTCCAGATACACGCATCCAAACAGACGTCCGTAAATCACTAGGAACCCCTTTTCTTATGAATCTCTTCAACACATTTGGTTTACTGAAAATGTTACCCTTTATTGAATTCCATCTCTGCGACCTTCTCGTTAATACTCGTATATACTGAGACATAAATTTATCGTGCACATCGTAATTGAAATTTTCTGATCGTTCAAAACCATATTCATCCACTTTGCTAAAAGATATATATATTTAGAAAAAAAATAGGTTAAAAATAAGAATTAATAAACACCTGTAAACGGATTTAGCCATAGCTGAAAAACATCCTATTTATACAGTAGTTCACAAGTTATTCATACTATAAGAAGGTGACTCATATTTCTGTTATAATTACTGTTAAATGTGTAAATTAAATATCTTGTGGGTCAATCTGAAAAGTGACACTTAAATTAGTAAACATAAAAACTATGTAATAAAATCAATTAGACCTACTTCAAAAGTTTCTGTTTAATTGACCTATGTGACTCATTATATATTCGATACCACTTATTTATATTTTTAAAAATTTCTTGGAATAAATTCAACGAAAAGCACAGATTATGAAAAGTACCAAAAAGTACATAGAAATATTTAGGCAATTTTTTGCGAAGCACCACAGCGAAGCACGAAGCAGGATCCACAGAACTACAGAACATCACAGTATGGACGGGAAGTGTTGCCAGATCATATTATATTTTTTTTTTTCGGTATACTGCCATGCATTCTAAAATTCAGTAGAAATCAGTCAGCAAATGCCTAATTAAAGGGGCAAACATTTTTTAACGTTTCCGTGGTTTCTCTTCCGATTATTGTTGTTTTGCAAACCTACGCCCGTATGCACCGTACACGTTTAATCCAGATCAAGGATTTAATCGCGTTTAGTACCATAGCTGAATATGGTACTAAACGCGATTAAACCCTTAATCTGGATTAAACATGTACGGTGCTTACGGGCGTAAGCCACCCAAAAAACATATAAGATGACTTTAGTTCGCGAAACACCATGACTGGTAATTTTTTCCGAAAATTCACCCCTTGGGAGGGGTGTTTCTGGCATGGGGGGGGGGTGTCACACAAAGGTTCCAGTCTTGACACACCGATTTTCGAAAGCAGCGACCCAAAAAAATATGAGATGAGTTAGTTTGCAAAACAAAAAGTACAGTCGAAAACACCCCTATGTAGGGGTGTTTTTTGCAATTTTAGGGGTGTTGCAACCATTGCTGCCAGTTTTAACCCTCATTTTCGTAATCAGCGTCCCAAAATACGTAGGGGACAAAGTGGTCTCGTCAAGTGCGGCGTTTCTCGACCTTTTACACCGTTATTTTAAATGGACTATATTAGCGTAAACCTTAATTATACGTATTTTACACTGTTTTGACTCGTTAGAATGTTAGACCAGAGTTAGACTATAAAAATTAACAACTAAATCATATTAACAATAGAAAATCAAACACCAATAAGTTACTTTTTAAAAAATAGTTTGTTAAGAAATGGAAAATCATTGAAAATAAAAATATTATTTCTATTATATAATATTACAAGATCAAACGAACTTACCTAAGTGCAGTTCGATCTTGATTATATTACATATTAAACAATAAAATAACTCAAACAATAAACACTACACCCGTATGCATAGTCGATCGCCAGCGACTCGCCAGAGATTCATTTCGGCGTATCGCCAGCGATTCGCTGGCGATCCGCCGGCGAAAGCCCAAAAAGCTGGCGACTCGCCGGAGATTGTCACCGGAATGTCATTTCACGCAAGTTTTCATGTTCTTTTATAGGAAAAAATTTGATATTCGTTCATTATTTTTTGAGTTTTAAGAAATGAATCATGAATAAAATGCGAGAGATACCGGTGATAATCCCTATAAAAGAAAATAAAAACTTGCGTGAAATGACATTCCGGTGACAATCTCCGGCGATTCGCCAGATTTTTGGGCTTTCGCCGGCGGATCGCCAGCGAATCGCTGGCGATACGCCGAAATGAATCTCTGCCGAGTCGCTGGCGATTTGACTATGCATACGGCTGTTTACTCAAAAAAAAACATATATATTCTAATCGGAGTCAGAATGAGCAAGGGCGTAGATAAGGGGGGTAATTACCCCCCCCCCCCCAAGCATAGTCAACATCAATAGCTTTTTAAACGTTATATTAAACAAAAATAGAAAGACAAAATAAATACAATAAAACAAAGAGTTTCTCAAATATATTGTCTTCTAGAATAATAATATTCTTGCAAATTGAAAATTAAAATTTATATATACAGAGTCCCATTAGTGCGTAATTGTTCAATATTTAAATGTGTGTTATTGACAAGCAAAAAAGTTTTAATAACAGTTATACGGATTTGAAAACTACATGTTTTAAAAATATTTTTGGATATACAAGGTGTTTCGTTTTTGCCTGACAAATAAAAATGTGTGTTTTTTAAATAGAACACCCTATATTTTATTGAAACATGTCTTAAATATTACTAATTTTAAATTCAATTTACTTAATTTTTTCAAACGCAAACAAACTGTATATTATCTTGGTATAAAATTCTCTATAAATTTGCCTATGTAATAATACCAATGTGTTAGTCAATAATAACACATATGGTGTCCCATCAGTGCATAATTGATCGATATAGCTGTTTTATTATTAGAAATAGGAAGAAATGTTTATTATAAAAGTTGTATGACCATATTTAACAAATATTTTTAAATATACAGGGTGATCCATAAACGAGGTGCTGACCAAATCTATACTTTTTTAAAGCAAAACACCCAGCAGGTAGTAATACATATTTGATTGTTTTTACATCGTCAAACAATTTGGAATGGAATACCTTGTATTAATTAATTGGTGGTATGACATATATAGGGTATTTCATTTAAAAAAATAAGAAAATCGTTACCCCTCATTTTGAAACACTCTATATACAACATATCAAATAAATTAAGTCTATTAAAGTTGTTTGATTATGTGAAAACAATTAAATATAAAAATGTATAAGTTTGGTCAGTCCCTCGTTTATGGACCACCCTGTATATTTAAAAACATTTATTAAACATAGCCATACAACTTTTATATTAATTTGTTATTCTGTTTCCAATAATAAAACAGCTATCGATCAATTACGCACTATTCCCAGACAGCACACCAAATCCTTTGGATATCTACTGAACATCCCAATATCCACTGAATATCCAGTCCATGGTGGATATCTATTTATATCCATGAGCTGTAATTTATAGACATGCAAATGTCTATAAATAATAGTAATTATATAGCAAATTATTAAAAAATTACGCCATTGTGCTCGCCATTGTGGCTAATAGTACCGTTCAGATATTTAAAATTAATTTTTTTAAGTTGTATTCAATAGCCCATGGACATCCACTAAATATATCAAAGTCTAGGCGCGAAAGCAAACCATCGTGGATATCCACTAGATGTAATTTTTGATTTTGCTTACTAAGTATAGATGGAGATACTACTTTCGCATCTACGCATGCTCAACCCGCCGTAATTGAGTTCGATCGAAATTTGTTTCACAATCAGACTCCATTAGAGACTGGAGTCGAGAATTACCATTTATTGCTGAAGAGTCCTATATAAGGATAACTTTCTCCTTAGTGGGCAAAATCAAAGGCAGAGTGTTGAAAATATTTTGAGTGTTGAAAATATTTTTTATCTCTGCTATTTTCTTTCGACTTTATTCAATAATCATTGGTTACTTATGAACCTCTTCTAAAGATACCTATAAAATATTTTGCTGAATATCCGAATTCTTCTATATCCTGGGATATATAGACGGACGCATTTGGTTGGATATCCATAGGATATCCACAGAATATATTCTGTGGATATATCTGGGATTTCTTGTATTGTCTGGAAGATACTCATTAGATATTTTGCTGGATATCCATATGATGTCTTCTATATTCTGGATATAGACGGACATTTGGATATCCATATTAGATCCACGGAATATTTCTGATATCCTGTGGATATATTGGATATCCACAAAAGATATTCTGTGGATATCTCTGGGATTTGGTGTGTTGTCTGGGTTGGGACATGTTGATATCGTTGGATAGGTAAATTTATAAGTAATTTTATGCGAAAATAATATACAGTGTGTTGCATTTGACAAAATTTGGTAAATTGAACTTAAAATTAGCCATATTTAAGACATGTTTCAAAACACTCTGTATAAAATAAATTAGTTCTATCACCTCGGAAATGGAAAGGTCTACAAAGATCAACCAGAAGTCCCTTTTTTGTGACAAATGGCGTGGGAAATATTAATTAATCTTAAATTTTATGAAATATATAGGGTGTAAAATTGTTTCTTTAGCCCTTCATTCTACATCAATGCATGGGTTATGGTAATTTATCGAAATAGTGTGTTAACTAATAATAACGGTTAACTATCAAATACATATTTTTAAGTTAAAGTCTTTTCTGTAAGGGAAATATATTTAGAAAATATGTGTATTTATGAAATTCACTTTATCACCCTGTAGAATGAAAACTGGGAAGTTTATAGAAAAATTATATTTAGCTTTTCTTTATAATTGAGTAAAATCTACAAATCCCCAAAATTACGGTACTTTATTCTGAAACACCCTATATAAATATATAAAAAATTAAAAACTTCATTATAACACTCTTTTTTCTGGAAATACACATAGGAACTCTAGACGTTGCATTGGTACCATATTCTAAAAAAACACGCTGCGCATTCACCAATAATGTGAGAAGTGTTACCCCCCAAGAAAACAACCTAGCTAATCGCTTGAGAATGAGTCGACTCATATTATCATTTTTTTTTTGTACATATTATTATTTTAAGCGATAGAAGATCTTCTGAAACTTTACAGTATGGCAATTATTATTTCTACTCCATAAGTAAGTTTTTACATGCAAATTGTCAACAACACTCGCCGTGGAAAGGCTTTTCTTTGGTTAATTTTTACCAAATTTGCGTCTGAGAACGTTCGATCTACGTTAGCAAATGAATGGGGAAATATAAGTAAATTAAAAACAAATGTAAGAACAGGGAACATAGAATTTTTCAAATTATCATTTGAAAAAATCACAAAAAGCTGATATTAAAAATAATGACAACGGCTTTTTTCAGTAGAATTTTCATTAATATCAGCGAGTATACCAATAGCCAAATCGGTAAATCTACTGAAAAACCAGCAGACCTGGCAACACTGTACAGAACACGCGAAAAGTATATACAAATATTTAGACAATTTTTTGCGAAGCACAAAGAACGAAGACGCAACAAAGGAGCTAGGATCAAAAAATGATCCAAAGGAAGAGGCAAAGAAAAAGAATTCAGTAGAGCCATAAAGTAAAAGGATAATTGTAAAGGGATTTTTAGTTTTTGAATGTTGGTTTTGGTGTGTGGTAAACTTGCTTGTCAATTGCTAACTGCCAAATTTTCACAACTTCCTTTTTTCTTTCCATTTTGAAACGAGACGTGTGCTTGTTCTCTCAAGAGCTAAGGCCCAACGGCGACTTGCACCAAATATTACTAAATAAATAAAAAATGACTTCAAACGCTGAACTTGCTTGCGTCTACTCAGCCCTTATTTTGGCCGATGACGATATTGCCATCACTGTAAGTATTAATTTAAAAATTTTGTATTAAGAAACAGTCATCATTTTTTTAAAAACTTTATTTATCTGGAAGCTTGTTGCTCATCCAGATTCTTTTTGTGTAAGAAAGTATTCTTTTGTCAACGTTTAATTCGTCTTTAGACATATTTTCATTATTCTATGTGAAAAACTATTGTATTGTTTAAAAAATTGGTGGTTATGTTTTATTTTGTACCCCATACTTATAAGCCGGCTTCCTCTGTTATCGATACAGTGAGAGGTGTGCTAGCTATGGGAACAGCAATGTCTTTTCTAGTGTATGATGGCTCAGCATAAATCTGAAACCATCAAAGGAAGATTTGAGACAAATTATAAATAATTACAATGGGTTGATTTACTATTATTTTCATTGTGTTTGATTGTAAATGTTTGTTTCTTTTAGGGTGAAAAAATCCAGACCATCTTGAAAGCCGCCAATGTAGAAATCGAACCCTACTGGCCAGGTCTTTTCGCCAAAGCCCTTGAAGGTGTAAATATCAAGGAACTCATCACTAACATTGGGTCTGGTGTAGGCGCAGCCCCAGCTGGAGCTCCTGCAGCAGCTGCACCAGCTGCCGCTGCCGCAGCTCCCGCCAAAGAGGAGAAAAAGAAGGAGTCCGAACCTGAAGAATCTGATGATGATATGGGTCTTGGTCTCTTTGACTAATAATTGTACAAAGTTTTTTTAAACTTAAGAAATAAACAATTTTTTTTAATTCTTTTTGTGTTACTTTTCAATTACTCAATTTCAGGATTTCAGAAATTACTTAAGGATAAATATATATGCCTAGGTGTACATAATACTAATAATTCAAAAAAATGTATATCATTATTACTCTAGAAAAAGCTTCCAGGCAAAAGGTAAATAGTCAAATTTCTAGATATTACAATATTTTGATGAAAACTAAATATTTGTAATCGAACAATTACACCATACCCTGATACCTCTCAAAATATCTGATTGTATTATTTTATAATATCCTTACAAACCTAACATGCAAATGGGCATATGTTTCTTATAAATTGATTATAGGAGGAGTGTTCATTCAAAACCAGACTTGTCCACAGGAAGTAGTTACAAGAAAAACTTCGTCAGTATACAAATTATGAGAAGTGGAGGATAAGATTTTTTTATGAGCGTTATATTGCATCTGATCTACATATATATCTATTCTATCAGAAATTTAATCTTAACCTAAATGAATTATAAAAAAAATTGATGTGTCCAACACATGACTTCGTATCTAGTTATTACAGGCTTTTTCCGGTTATTTTGTACAACCCATTGCATATATATTTTCCACACATCTAACTCGAAACATGTTTCTATAGATACTGAAAAATTTAAATTTAGCACTCTTCCTCCATATTTTCCATTACGGTCCATTTTAGAAAAATGTAAAAAACAAATCGCAAACAAATTTTAGTTTAATAATTTTTCAGAATTTTGTTCATTTTGTCAAATTTCTCGAATACGCACCATTTCAGGAAAATTTGGCATAAAGCAAAAATTATAGATAATAATAATATTAGAAGTATCTTTTATTTGAACAATTTTCTTCTCCAAACATAAATAACATATATTCCATAAAACATGGTCCATTTTAGAGAAATTATGTATAGGATAAAAATTATAGAGAATTATATTACAAATAATAGGTATTGTAAGAAACCTTTATTTAAACAATTTTCTTCTCTAAACGTAAATAAGAGATAATATATTCCATAAAATAAAAAATGACCACCTATAAAGTACCCCCCCCCCAGATGTTCCGACTCTACCCAAAATCTAATCAGTTCATTGGAGGCTGGAATAAAGCTTACGTTTAAAATTTGGTGTTTTTCTTTGTATCCGTTCATGAGTTATCGAGGATACAGACACACAGACATCATCGCGAAAATAGTCAAAACGGATTCAGGGGATCTCAAAACTTAAAAAACCATCGAAAACTCGAGGTCGAAAAAAATCATAATTCCTATACTTTCATTATCTGTATACAGATAGGAAAGTAAAATACAATACACAAGTAAATAAAATTGAGCTGCTAAAGATTTCGAGTTAATTATCGACGTTTGAATACAGTTTTAAATGGGTCAAGACTGCTTTTGCACGATATTCATGCCCAGTAATTGATATAATCCAGGAAAATAACTGGAATTTGCCTGATATTGAATAAACACTCCTCACATTATTGGGTGTATAATGTGTTGCCTATGTTTCAATGTCCTAGCTTTGGTCAAATCTTTCTACAAAATCCATATTTTAAAATATGAATCTACTTTAACATTACGCAATAAAAGACATTTTATACGATATCACTACTTTAAATAAATGTCGTATTTTGCAAATAAACTAAAAATAGGCAAAATCCGATCATATTTATAATATGGCATTTGCATGTTCTTTACCTTATTTTTCAGTACGGCAACTGCAAAAAATTACTTGGACAGTTACTGTCAGTGAGTTGTCACTTCTTCAATTCAAAACAAAAATCAGATGGAAAATAATAATTATGATAGAGCTATCTTAATTTAAATATTAAGTCTAATATAAAATTATCTTTGTTACATAAATATGGCTATTAACGGAAAAATAAACGCTGAAACACAACTACAAGGTAAATATACCTTTTAAAATGACAAAATATTGATAAAATCTCTTTTTTAGTGGCCATTGGGAGATTACTCACCTCTGTAACTGACAAGAGCCCTATAGTACTAGAATCGGTAAAATGTTCATTAAAAAAATTATCAGAAAAACATCCGAATCAAGTATTAAATTCAAGTTGCCATTTCATAAATAAAACACCCAGACCTCCCCCAGAACATGTATCCTCTATACTTGCTATAATGGAGGTAGTCTGTTCTGACCATATCTTACAAATAAATGGGGATTCTATAATTCTAACTATAGATGTAAGTTTGGCTGTTATGACTGAACAGATTAACTTTGATCCATTAGTTCAGATGCCTGCTTGTGGGATTCTCGTTGCACTTGGAAGAGAACATTATGTACAAGTAAGATAATTACAAAGAAAAAAAAATGTATTGCTTTTTTTATGTGATCTTCTGTTAGGTTATAGATTCTTTGTTAAAAAAACTAAATCCTGGAGTAATTCCTCATCACATGGTGCCTCATACTTTAGGGGCCTTGGCTAGTGCTAATGCCATTGGGGTAGTTCCTTATTTAAAGGATATTTTGAATATAATTTTACCCCTTTTGGGAGGCTTGAGAACTGAGGTACTCAAACAAGCATTTTCTTTTGGTAAGTCCTCAATTTTCTGTTATTTAAAGACTAATATTACTGTTTTTTTATGTACCAGCTCTAGGTAATTTTTGTGAGGCACTGACAGAGTATGTATCAAATTCAGAAAAAGTACCAGACCCCACTATTACTCTAGATAATTTTAATGTAGAAATAGGAATGGCTTATGATGTTCTGTTTACCACGTGGATCAATTCCAGGGATTTTAAAACTGTGGAAAGCGTTCTAGAAGCTGTAACGTCAATATTTACTGTTCTAACAGTCGACAGAGTTACACAACAAATACCTAAAGCCATACAAGTGCTTTTAAACCTATACAAGAGAAACATAAACCCTTATAATGTGACTAAATGCCTGGGTTCTGTTATACAAAAGTCAGCTACTGTGAATGGAATGCTGTTAGAACCAATGTTACCAAATATCTTAAACACTCTTTTCGATTTGGTGTGTGTTTCTCCAGATTATGCACAACCTGGCTTATTGAAGAGCCACTCTGAAGTGCTGAGATGCTATGAATGTTTCGCCCTCCATTTTACAGATCACACTTTAGATCAGATATTGTCACAATTGAGAAATAATAATGACAAAGAGAAAGTAAAGGCTTTGATTGTTTTAACGCATTTGATTTCCTATTCAGGAGATCAGAGTATCAAGAGAAGGTACAAAGATGTGGTTAGATGTATCAATGATCTGATCAATGATAATAATTTGCGTGTTAAAAAGGCATTGGTCAAAATTATTGTCGCTCTATGTTTCAAAAAGGTTCTTATTGATAAAGGTAAGTTTTTTTTTTGTATTATAGGAATGAATCATTGGTAGGAATATACTAATATAAAACAATAGAATGTATATTATTTATTTTAAATAAAAAAAGTAATTACTCATAATTTATTTTGCTTGTTAAATAAATACGATTCATATTGAGAAACTTTGATCTTGTTTTACAGGGTACTATTAAAAAAAATTGCATTCACAAAATAAACATTTTTGCTCAAATGAAGAGCTTGTAAAGAGAAATCGAAAATCCAAATGAAACTTTAATTAAAGTGCTTCCAAAAAATTTTACTTAATTTTTTTTTAATTTTGCCAATCCACAATTGTATTTTTTATGCACGCCCACCCTGTACAACAAAATCCAAGTTTGTCAATGTGAATCTTATTTATTTAACAAGCAACAGAAACGATGAGGAATTACTTTTAAATTTGAAATAAATATTTTTACACGTATAGGTAAGTCCATCCATGAACACATTATACAGGGTGTTCCAAAAAAGTAGGCCAATCCGTTAACCACAGATTTCTTGGGTCAGTGTAAGAAGCCTCTATTATTATTTGTTTTTACCATGGATCTTGCCCTTGTAAACTATAACAAACCATTATTTTATTGATTTCGACATACCTATATGTTTCAAGTTTTTTAGCTTTTTTAATATTCTTTGCAGTTTGTAAACAGTATTATTTTTAATGTAACTGTTACAGAGGAACACTTATAAATGAATACTTTAAATTGTTTTACATAATTAATTACTAAATGATTATTTAACTAAAAGGTTGTCTAATTACTTTAGGGACATATTTTAAAACATAAAATCACTTAAATGAAATAATAATAGATCATAAACTAGACATTTAAGGTGAGATTACAGAACGTCTGCAACTTTGCAGATCTGCAAATATGGTGGACTTACAGATGCAAATATCAAGTTTTTGTATTCCAAAAATATCTACAAATTCGCAATATTTTGTTGTGGTTTATTACCCCAAACAACACTAAACCCAAATCCATTACTATGTTTAAAAACTCTAATAATCTGCAAAGTTGCCGCCATATTTGCAGATCTGCAAAATTGCAGACGTTCTGTAATCTCACCCTTAGTCTGTAAATAACTTTAACTGTCAAAAAGGGCATCACAAAAAAAATGAAAATCACTGACGCTTTCTGTCGCTTCACGTTGGCCAACAGCTTCAAGTCCACATTTCCCTGATTTTTCCTTCAGAACTGTTTGAATGTTTTTCTTTTTCTACAACTTTTCTCTATTTTGTTCTAACTGAAATTTGCTTTCTCCAATCTTCTATTATTATTTCTTTCATTTTGTTATCTTCCAACCTTGACTTTTTGACATTTCTAGTCTGAATCTCTGTCATTCTCTTAGATAATACAAAATCTGCACTGATTCAGATTATTAAGAAGTGAGTATCATACTTTTTAGATACAAGACATACATGGTACATATTGTTACTGCTTTTTTCTAGAACTGAATCCAGATGGTCCAGAAAAATACATGGAATTTATCTTGAAAATGTGCTGCAAACAAATTTTACCGAAAAACTACATTGTCGATCCACAAGAGTTGGAAAATATCCAAAAATCAACGGATAACACCTTGTATATGCTTAGTACTTCAGTGCCGGAGCTGGAATCGATACTCTTTGACCTTTTACTAAAATGTTTCCTAAATACAATATATGATGACGCAGTCGTAGTTATTTTGAGGTGTTTAACTCACTTGGCTTCGAAGAGAGAGAAGACTGAGTGTTGCGAGACGGCATTCATAAGATGCCTGGCTCTCCTCGCTGATCCGTTGCCCAATTTTAGGGGTTGTTTCATTTTAAATTTCTTGAAGAACATCAAACCTTGCGAAGTAGATTCATACAAATCTGTTTGGGATCTTAAAATACCGCAACTGTTGAAATATTTGGAGCAGAATTTCGAAAATATCAATTTAGCGGAATGGCATGATTTGGTTTTTGATTTTTTGAATTTGCTTCTTGAAACTACCAACAATGAGAGTTTTAATGAAGTCGTTGTGTCGAATGCAAAGAAACAACTCGATGTATATAGTAGTACTAAGTGAGTAACTATTTGGTATTGTCTATCTCTTGCCATCATCACATTCTTGTTTTCAGGTACATTGGACCACAAAACGGCAACTACCAAATTAAACAATCTGAAAAGCAATTCCTCCTGAAATGCCTAGCCATAGCATTGTGTTACTTGAAAGACAAAGAAACCGTAATGCAAACGTTGGACAGCATCTTGGGAAGCATCAGATTGACGGATTACGCTGAATCGCACACATGCGCCGAAGCGGTGGGGATATGTTCGAGGTCGCATCTACAATTGGTGCTCGACAAGCTGGCCCATATAAGAAAGGACGTGTTGACGAAGAAATCGTCGAAATTTTTGAATTTCCTCAAAGACCAGAAACACGAAGTCGGTCTAGAACGACTGAGATACACAGTGCTCTACGGCTATTCACAAGTGAGTTCAATGTATTCTTAATGGTTGATAGATTCGTTTGTTGCAAGTGAGATATTAGATGCTACAAAATAAAACAAAGCAAAATAAAAATCTTGTTCAACAGTTGATGAGATAGCTAACTTATTTTTTCATCTATTTGTAATACTGCTCAGAGTTGTTTTTCTATATTACTTTAAATCTATTTCTGATGACAAAGGTTCTGATCCAGATGGTATTAGGCATTCCGAACAAAATGACTGACCGTTTGAAATGACAGACTACTGACAGGCACATGACATGTTATAATATGGCAACACTGTGCGCCTTGTGATTTGATAGAGTCAATGATATAGACAGTCATATAGATTGAACATACACGGTTTTAAAAACAAACATAAGCTTATGCCTTGAAGTAAAAATGTAATTATTTTTTTTTAAATATCCATAGGCTCAAAATTGGTTATAAAACACATTTTTGCTAAACCGATTCAAATTAATAAATACTTGCCAGGCAATATGGCCGCTTCCAAACGACCCGCTTTGAGCAATCTATATATGTATCATTGACCCTGTTAATGACAACAGGGTTGCCATATCTAAACTGTCAGATCCCACTGGTAGCCATTTGGACAGGTCGTTGGAATGCCTAATACCACCAAGCCTATTAAAGTTGTGTAGTTTTAACTTGACCAGACATTCATGTCAAATTTTTCTTTATTTGGCTACTGGAGTTTTTTTCTGATATCTGGAAGTTTATTTTTATAATTACATTATATAAATCGGGCGACTCTAGCTTAGATAAAAATTACAGAGCATATATCTTGAATGGATACACAAGCTATTTGAATCTTTAGTAGTTGCATCTTCCAAAGGCTTTCTTATCGTTCACAATTTGGATTCCAGTCACATAACTCAACAGAGTTACCTTTTTTGTCTAACGCTTTAGACTCTGTATTCTCCTAGAAATAACTGGTTCATTAATAAAATGGTTTATTTATTGAACAGAAAAGTTTGTTAATGTTTATGGTTTTCAGTCAAATGAGATTAATGTCCCTTCTGGCGTATCTTAATGTTCGCACCTTGGAACCATTCTCTTTAATGTTCTTAATGGTATTTCAGTCATTGATTCACTCAAAATTTATTCTAATCGCTGATTATCTAAAGTTTTATTCTGTCATCAAAGATACATCTAACAACTTGGTTGACTGGTGCAATGACAGTGGTATGGAACTAAATGTATCTATAAAATATCGACTATTGAAAACCTTTCAATACGGTTTGCTAGTGTCGAAGCGAAAACTACAGAGATTTCACATTAGTTTGAGAAGGAAACGAATAATATCAACGTAGCCAACGGCCTGACCGCTTTAGATTGTGGATATATCTGTCGTTGTGTGCATATTCGCAAGACAGACGGCACGATATAGTGCACAATCGAGAGATCCCCACGCAGCCAGGCGGCCGTTTACTGGCAACGTTGTCATTTTAGTTTTCTGATTGCACTAATGCTGTTTTCGCTTCGACGCTAGCAAATCGTATTGGAAGGTTTTCAATGGCCGATACTGTATATCCTTCACTAGATCACTTTTAAAGAAATAGAAATATACTTTTGGAAATTGTGTAATAATTAGGTAATCCAATGTACTGTCATAAAAATTGAAGGGAAAAACAAAGTTTGTTAACATAACTTTTTCATTAGTTTTATAGTTTTTGACTGTTTTGTGTTTAAGAACTAAATCAACCTGACTTTTCATAAAATTCATAGGCATATCGTATAGCTAGAAATTTTACATAACCTGGATTACGTGAAAAGATTCCACACATTGATCATACAATAGGGCAAGCATCACTTGGCAAACGTGTAGATTAAAATTTGATGGATCATACAAAGATATACTTATACCACAAAAAAGTACTTCAACTTTGTCTCTAATTATTGTTTACATTAACTAAAAAAATTAGGTTGTGTGACGTTGGTGACCTGAATTCGCAACGTTTTTTAAGGTTTGTAATGAAGCCCCTTCTGAGAAGCTACTGAAAGTTATAGAGAGCGAAATCTTGGATTATGCAGTTCAAGAGTTGGCGAACAGTAAAGATTTTCCGTTAAGAAAGGCTTGTTTGAGGACAATTAACGCTGTTGCGGACGCCATGCACCCGAACAGGAATTCTTTACATATTAGAATGAACGACAGGGACAATGTAATAAAGTACGTACAGTTTCTCGTAAACTATATATTTTTAAAACAAAACTATCCGGTTCAATTTCAGATTAGTTTCTTCGCAAGTACATTTGCACAGCGGTCCGGAGTACATAGAACTGTTTCCTTTAATCATTCCCACTGTTACGGCGCTCGTTAGACTTCCTCTTCCCATCGAATCGGAGGATAGAATGAATATATTGAAGTTGTTTTTCGATAATGTATACAATGCCGCTATAATTTATTGCAAAATCAATCAAGATAACGCTGAAAAGTATTACGGGGACTTGAAGCTCGTTCCACACGTGACCAAGAGTTTCTCCGAATTGAATCAACTGGTTAAAGACTTGCTTTTGCAGAATTTATCGCCGGCAACTTTGGACGAGATAGTGTGGTTGCTGCAGCCTTGGTTAGGTGAGTGAATTAGATGTTTTAAGTAAAGCATAGATTATAATAATGGTTATTGTTTATTTCTTTATAATTACTAGGTATTTAAACATATTCTAATACTCGTTTAAGACATCTTCCTCAACAGAATTGAGCAAACATAAAATATTACCATATTTGAATTTTTCAGTTACTGTGCCTCGATTGGAACATTATTATTTAAAAATAATGTACAAATAAAATACAGACAATAAATTGTGAACAATATAAACATTTTAGGCAAGAAAAGACAAGAGCAACGCCTCCCAGCAGCAGAAACAATGCGTCTTGTACTACAGACTTATTTGGACAACATGAAATTCGCCTATGAATGCCCGACAACTTTCGGCCAAACAGGATTCCTGCTTTCTAGAGTGATTCCAAGGTGTACGGACCCCAATAAAAATATTCGGAAGGTGAATTTCACAAATTATTACGAATCCGATGACACATTTTTTTTTAATACAGGTAGCCGTCGAGTGTCTATGCCTCATCCTCTGTATAGCGGCGCGTTACGAGGGCCAAATGCGAGACCACGACAAGGTGTTAAGTAATTCCGTGCAGCATGTCCAACAGCAGATCGATTCAGACGAACCCAAGTTGTTATATAACCTTACTTCCGATTTAGCGCATGTTATCAGCATTAATTTGCCACCGTTTCAGCTTATACATTGCATAGAGGGGTTGATAGAAGCTCTCTTGGATTGCGAGTCGTCCAGCTCGAATGGCAGCAGCGTCGTCCTCAATTTGTTACTAAAAAATAAAGGTAAAAGTAGAACGTTTTTTGGTAAGTTGCTTTACAGTTCCAGATCCCATGAATGGTAAATTATTTAATGATTTTTTAGGCTAGGTGACAACTGACAGTAACTAAATCAAGACAGATTTTAGCTCAAGACAAGTGACAAGAGAAATTATTTTTGTAAAAGTATGATAATATAATCTGTGATTTTTTAGGTGGAGAATTGCTTAGTCACGTGGTACCAATTACAGAAGAATTACTGAAGAAGTTATATAAAATTCAATGTACCAGAACCAAATCTTCAACGTATCGGGCCATCTTAAATTTAGCTATGCATCATTCGAAGACTGTGTGCGGCATTTTGTTGGCCCAACCTTTACCATTTGACAAGTAAGTCAATAAAAAAAACATTTAATGGAGTCTACTATGTAACTATTTATTTATATTTTAAGACTTCTGGATGATCTCTACTTCTTTTAATGGCTTTTCTTGACTTGGTTTTAGGTTTTCATTTTACTTCGGTAATTTGTGGCTGATCATTTTCATCATAAAAATAAAACATATTTAATCTCTTTTCAGTTTTATTTAAATCTTTTACATTTTGTATCTAATTACTAAAAACATCAAAATAACGTTTCTCTAGTATCACTCCTTTTTCATTCAACTTTTTTCAATATTTCTGTATCTTTTTCCATTTCTAACGCTGTACTGGTGTCTACGGAGATGACCTGTGGCAGTTTTCAATTCGACTACTCGAACCTTTCCACAATAAATTTTTCTACAACACTCAATGGCCAATTTAGTCTCTTCTGATTATCGTATTCTACAATCAATAGGTTTGTTCCAACCCAACAGAAAACCGTACATTATACGGTCATCGTCATGCGCAGTAAATAAAATCCGTTCAATCCGAGAATTGACGATTCATTGTACCGTCCGGTTAGCGTTCCAACCAAACATGGGAGCGTTCGGGAATCGGTTTCTGTACGGTCCTTTCGACACCAAACTAAAAGTAGGTATCGCTTGGGTTGACATGCGCACTGAAACGAGTAAGGCCCGTCTTTTTTGTTTGGATTTGACGTTTAGTACTTAGTGGTATTTACGTTTTTAAATTAAATTGTTTTTCAGATTTTCTGCTTAATTATGTTAGTTTTTGGATAGTACCTAATTTAATTATGAGTGATGAAGAAGGTGATGATTTTCTCTCAGACTTATCGTCTAGTGAAGAGGATTTAGAACTTGCCCTAAATGAACATAGAATTAAAAATGATAACTATTTAGGTAATTCCTAGTTTCCGCCAACTGAAATTGTCAAACAGCATCGTTCGATACTGAAAATGGTAAATAAATTCGTTCCACCCCGGTAGACTGTGATCCCATCCACAAGACAGTGCCAGGTTAGCGTATACGCATAACAAGCTAGTTGAATGATCACCTGTACCGTTTCGAAACGGTACAAAACTCTTGGTTGGATCAAACGTATTATCTCCAACTTGGAGTTCCAAAGATGTTTCTCTTCTTTTTGACTGACACAACTGACCTAAATACTCCTTTTTAAACATCTTCTTTTAATTTTAATCTGTAATGCATACGTTGGTTTATTACACTAGATTTTTCATTTATTTTCTAAATCAAATACTCCCACTTCTTTTATTTCTTGCAAATACATTGCCGGTGTAAGAGTCGCTTATCTTAGTCATCTTGTGAAAGGTATGTCAATGGTCTTGAGTTATACAAACACAAAGAACGGTTGACAATTCATTAGAGGTCACATAAAATTATTGTAATACTTTTCTTAATAATTCTTCGCAAAAATATTAAATTTCTCTTCATTAATTATTGTTTCCTGATTTTTAGGTAAATTGTAAGTCAATAATTGTCTCATTTTCAATGGCTTTTTAGGCAAATAAATTTCAATTTAGATACTATGACACTAATAAAAAAACTCATAATTTCATTATTAAAATATTCTTAGATGTATATTTGTTTTCATCTGTCACTTGTCATTAATCTGCTTGTTGTCAGTTTTCATGTCAATAATTAATTTTAAACGATTGTTGAATATCCAAAAAAAGTTTTATACATTTAAGCATTGTATCGCAATGCTGGGGTTTAATTTTGGTATTGTTCACCTTTAATTAGGTATTGTAATTGTCAAAGATGCCGGTACGTCGCGGACCCTAAGTAAGATTTTAAAGCTTCGCCAAGCAGGTCTTACCTTCCGATTTTTGTTATCCTGGCTTCCTGAGACATACTTCTCTTCTTGGGCAAGCACGCATCGACTCTGAAGGGTATGTGTGGACTGTATTTTAAGGGCTGGTATTTGAATGTGCCGGGAAGATTTTGAGCATCAGTACCGAACTACAATTTTAATAGGAGCATGTGTACTTTGCGATACTATTGTGCCCGGTTCAAACGACAAATCGTTCTTAACGGCGGTGGCCTGTGACAACTTATTAACTAAGGCAGTACCCTTTTGACGAAACATAGTAAAACTAATGAGAATAAAAGTGAAATATTACCGTTCATACTTTAAATTTAAATATATTAAATAAGTGTAGACTTAAGTCGGTAATAATAACACATCTCTTGTTACTCGTATTTCAAATTATTTTTGAACTCTATAACTGTTTTTTTAAATATTTTAGCGTTGTTCCATTATTTTATGATATACAGGGTGGGCCAATGAAAACTTTACACCCTTATTTTCTGGCTTTAAAACGAAAATCGGGAAAAAAGCTCGAACCCGTCGATTTTTAATTCGAGGGGGAACAACTTGTTTGGTTTTTCATCAATGTAACTTCAACCCTCTAACAGAGGGAAGCACAACCCCCTGTTTTTGAATAGGGGTGTTGTAATACCTCATTTTGAAGATCTCATCGAGTACTATCTGACCCCAAAATTTCGCGTCAAAATTTTTATCGATAACAGCTAAAACAGTGAAAGAGACAATGTGGAAAAAATGTCTACTTAAGGATACTTACTTCTCTTATTAGTTTATTAAATGCTTGAAATGGCCACCATTCACTTCTATGCAGTAAAATAAGTTTTGTTTACCTTAAGGATAATTATTCTTATCAGACTGGTATTTGAGAAGTATTTATTTTTTATTTTATGAATGCTTCATTTATTCGATTTACCTAGTTCATCGTAAATTTTTAAGAACGTTGCCATCGTGTCTACTCGATTGATATTTTTTTAGTAGAATTAAAATGGTATATTCCGTGGGGGAAAGGGTGGAAATTATTAAATTGTTTATTAGAAATAACAAGCGACAGCAATTTTATTTAACGAACGTCATTCTGAAAAAAATGTCTCCGCTGCTTACGTGTTGCGACTGGTTTCCAAATTTGATGCCAACAAGATGATCGTACAACCTGTTCATCAAATTTTGGATGAGGATTTTCCTCAAAGCTGGATTGGAAGAAGGGGGCATATTGAGTGGCCCCCAGGTCACCTGATCTGAATCCACTGGACTTTTTTCTAAGGGGTTATCTAAAATCTTAAGATTTACGCTACCCTGTCCGAATCACTGGATGATTTGCGAAATCATACAATTAGTGAATGTCGTCAAATTACACCCGGCATGTTGCGTAATGTACGGGAACGTTTTGAATAAAACTTATTTTACTGCATGGGAGTGAATGGTGGCCATTGCCAGCATTTAATAAACTAATCGCAGAAGTAAGTATTCTTTTTGTTTATTAAGTAGACATTTTTTCCATAATATCTCTTTCACTGTTTTAGCTGTTATCGATAAAAATTTTGACGCGAAATTTTGGGGTCAGATAGTACTCGATGAGATCTTCAAAATGAGGCATTGCAACACCCCTCACCCCTATTCAAAAATAGGGGGTTGTGCTTCCCCCTGTTAGAGGGTTGAAGTTACATGGATGAAAAAACCAAACAAGTTGTTCCCCCTCGAATCAAAAATCGACGGGTTCGAGCTTTTTTCCCGATTTTCATTTTAAAGCAGGCAAATTGGGGTGTAAAATATTCGTTGGCCCACCTTCTAATTTGTTATTAAGCTTTTGTGTCCATAAAAAGAGTTGATTTTAAAGAATTTCCAAATGTACAAATCAACGTTTTATCGAAATACGGTGGAATAATTTGTCAATTATTACGTGTCTTTTGTAAATAACCATCTGTCAGTTGTCATTAATCAACTGGTTCATGTCAGTTATTTTAATGTATTAAGCATTTTTTTTTATATATTTCAGTGTCGTATCGGAATGCTGGGGTATAATTTCGACTGACCTCACTTTAGTGGCAGATCTAATAGACCAATTAAAGAAAATAATTAAATCGATGCCTCTGTACGAAGACCAAAACAACGGAGAAGTTAAAGTAGCCAATCCAGCGCCGCTTCAAGCGATCTGCGCTCTCCACGAGTTGTTGAAAAATACGCAATTGAAGGAGATCTGCCTCAACCAGTTTCCGGAGCTGTTCTCCATTTTGTTGACGTCGATTTGTTCGTATATGGGTGCACTGGCGCCCGCCATTAAGAAGACGGATTCGAAGGAGAAGTACAGTTTCAGTTTCAATAGAGACGCGTTTAGATTGATGCCTGCTAAAGTTGCGATCGAGACGTTTAGGCTATTTTTGATATGTTGTGAGTTCGATAAGATGGCAACTAGTTTGTTGATGATCAGCAGCACTGATGCGTTTGAGGATGTCGATTTGTTCTTGGAGGTAAAATTACTTATTTTGTTTTTGGCGATGTCTGCAACATTTTCTGTTCTATTTTATTTTAGGTAGTCCAATCTTTGGTCGAAAACGTATGCACGGAACATCCCCAAGCGCTGTCTTGGTTAGTAGCCAGCTTAGGCCCTTACATTAGGGCCGATCTGGACCCCCAAAGAGTCGCAACCGTCGGCTTTTTCTCACACTTGCTGCATCAGAGCCACACTGAACAAAACGTACTTACCGAAAACCTTTTAGAGATGATTCTCGATGTACAGAGCGACACTTGCTCACTAGTTCGAAAGTTGGCGCTACAAGGGTTGGGCCACGCCGCCGAGAACTTGAGTTACGATTTGGTTTCGAGGCACTGCAATCCCATCCTCAGTGTCCTCATGAACAGTTTGGATTATAATAACATCGGGTATGTGAATTTTATCCCTGAATCTATATTTAATGGTTTTTCTTTATTTTTAATGTCTTCTAGCAACGAAAGTGCCGTTATTCTGGAAGGAATGCTTAGTTTCTCAAAGCTTCTGCTAGCCATGGAGGGCGTCAAGTTCAGTTCCTTTCAAGTAACCGCCGCCGTGCGTATAAAACCATTACTGGATCGAGAGGATGTCAATTTGAGGAGGGCATCTTTTAAATTATTAGGAGACTTAACGCAATCTTTGAATTCCGAGGGAAACTTGGAAGCTTTCAAAGAACAAATACATGGAAATATAATCTCATTGCTGCTACATTTGAGCGATCCCGATATGTACGTCGTTAAGGTAATCATTTGTTGGCAAGTGAAGTTGGAATGATAAAAATAAATAATAATGCTTCTTTTAGGCATGCAAATACACTTTAAGAAAAATCGGGCCGTACCTGGAGAGTCCCAAAGTTAATTCGATGATTCAGGAGCATCTGATCGATGAAGCGAATCTACATTTTACCGATTTCATAAAAGATTTCATCAAGCTCATGGTAAGCATTCTAGTTGTCTTGGTGTTGCATTTTTTATTGTTTTTTGCTGTTTATTTTTAGGCGGAAGATCTGCAAGATCTTTTCCCGCTTCTGATAATGACTTGTTTGTCATACTTTAAAAGCCAATGGGTGGAAATAAAGGGCAATGCTGCCCTTATATCAGGCCTCCTTTACTCCCAGCTGATACCGGATAATAAGTCCAGGGTTTCCCTGGATACAGTCTGTGATAGATTGATGAGACTTATGGGCGATGAGGATGAAAATGTTAGGGTGAAAGCTGTTGAGGCTGTTTCTTATTTATTCATGGAATAAATTGTTTATTATCGAATTTTTTTTAGCAATTGTTAATTATTATATAGCTAGACACCATTCAGATAGTAAAAGACAGCCTTTTATAAATATTTTAAGATAAAATTATGTATCTTTGTTATGTTATTAGTAATGAAGTAAGAGTTATGATTTTAAAGAATTTTATTTTCAAATTTTATTATAATTCTGCAATATTTTGTGCGACATCTGGTATGTCTTTTTTGTTTATTATATTAAATAATTGATCCTGTAATTTTATGCTATCTATATTTTTATATATATTTAAATGAAATAAAAATAAAAAGTCTATTTTGTTTTATTATTATGTTGTGTATATTTATTTATCAAATACGGTGCCCCATAAGTCACTAGATGATTAAAAAATGTAATAACTTTTGACTTGTAAGGCTTTTTAAAAATGTTTGTTTCAGGTTTGGAAACTAGAAGCTTGGGAGATTTGTTATGGAGAAATTTACTGTTGCCCAAATCAATTACAGAAACTCAAAGATTGTTACAGAAATTCAAAGAGCGTTTCGCAAACTTTTCAATTCAAGAAACTCTCCCTCGGAAATGACTATACGCAATTTAATTGCACGTTTTCGATTGCGTTTAGTGATTTTTCAAGGGGAATTTCATTCATTACAAAGTCTACAGAACGCTCTTTGAGTTTCTGTAATTGAACAGTGGTGTTCAAAATAGAGTTCCACAATAGCGACTCTTTGGGCAATGGTGAATTTGTCCATAACAAATCTCCTGAGCTTCTAGTTTCCAAATCTGTAACAAAAAATTTAAAAGGCCTTACAAGTTAGAAGCTATTACATTTTTAAAATACCTAGTGATTTGGATCACCCAGTATATACAAACATTTTTTACAACAAGGAGAGATTCATTTTTTTTCCAAAATGATTGAAAACGGATGAAGAAAAATAAAATGTAATCTAATTAGATTAAATCCTTACAATCTAAACCTTCTTGAGTAATATAAAAAATACATTTTTTTCTTGCCAAATCAGGAGAAAAGATAATTTCAAATTCCCTAACAGAACTGTCATTGTATCTCAATATCTGACATCGATAGTTTATGCTATTGCTCCATGCTATACCCAAAGCAGGCTCTGTTTTACTATTTTCTATATCCTCAGCCACCTAAAAATATATTTCTTATTGCATGAAAACTAATGACATTTGGTGGATTGACAGCTATAATTCGTCGCTGGAAAAGCAAAGGGACATAAGTCAAAAAATGGCCAATTTGAATTAAGCTCAGAATTAAGACCACCATAAATCTGTTAAGTGGGTATCTATGATGTGACAAAGGGGCGTATCTCTCCTTATAGTTAATGTAATATGGCAAAATAAAAGCACTAATGTGCATAAGCAATGCACTATACACCTCTTTGTCTTTCCAGAGTCGAATTTAACAATGCCATGATATTTTAATATCTACAATTTATTACAATAAATTTAAATATTCATCATACTTGGTTTGTACAAACTACTGCCAATTTATGTTCTTCACAGATATCATTTAATTTGTGTGCAATTTGTATTAAATCTCTACTTCTTGTTATGTACTGTTGGGTATTCTCCCCCCGAAATGGTCCAGCTATTGAGTCTATAATCACTAAACCAATATTTTCCCTTCTAAGCAATATTGGCAGCTCAGAAAAAAGACATTTTTGCAATTCGTCTATATCTGTAGCATGTTTTAGATAGACAGAACTCTCAAAATCTATTCCAGGAAGATTGTTTTTGATTTTAAACAAATTCGCCAATTGGTGTAAACGTTTTGCTGGGAAAATATCTTCAGTGCAAATGTATACAGCTCCTGAAAATCGATAATTTCACATTCTAGTGAGAAACTTTAAAGATGGGGAACCTTTTTCAAGCCCTCCAGCATCAATGGGGAGTTGTACTTGAAGGGCTAATTGTAAACAAAATTGGGTTTTACCAACTCCACTGCAACCAAAAATCTCTGTAATTCGACCTACAGGTATACCTTTTCTTAAAATGCCATCAATACTTTTACATCCTGTGCTCAATCGTGGCCATGGTTCTAAATCAATTGCTAAAATTATAATTTAAATTGGAAGAAAATATAAGGTAGATTTAAATATTAACCTTTAATTATTCTGTTAGGTTTATGAATGTGTTTTGACAATTTCAATTTCATTTCTTCTATTTCTTCAGTGGATCCTCCAATACTTTTTGCAAGTTCGAAATTATTTGTTATAAGGAAATCAACAGTTGTACTTATTCCACCTCAAAATAATAATTACAAGAAAATCATTTTTTGCAAAATTCAGACTTACTTTTTATTAGTTTTTGATATATTTCTGCAGATACAAGAGGCTGTAGTTTTTCCATTTGTATAAAAAATATAATTTTAAATTCTAGGTTATAAAGTATTTAATATTTAACAATAAAAATAAACAACAATAAATATGTGAATAGGACTATTTAGGCAGCACTTATTACTCTTAGAAGTTAGTACAATTATCTAAGTAGTAGGACAATGAGCTAGGGCCCGTTCTTTACTATTTATTGAGGAATTTGGATAAAATTTAGAACAAACAGACTCATAACACTTATACTTAAACAAAATGGCTGACTTCCGATTTTACCGGAAATGCCACTAACATAATGAATTTTTGTTAATTGATCACCCTGTATATTTTATATCTTCGATTCAAATAGGGTTGCCAGATGTCCGTTTTTCGACCGAACAGTCCGGTTTTTCTGTTACACGCCCGGTTGAAAAAAACTTTGTAAACCGGAAAACAGAAAGTCCGTTTTTTTATTGAATTCATAAAAATTCGTGTAATTTGAGAAAAAATTAAAAATGTTATTGTTAGAATTAAAATATATATGGCATCGAGGAAAGCAGTGGCGGCTGGTGGGCACTAGCGGCAGTGGGGCACACACTGAAAAGGAAACCCGGGATTCGTTCTCCGCTTAATGAAAATTAAATATATTTCAAATCAATCAGTTGGGGCAATAACGATTTCTGAATGTGACTACAGGGAGCTAAATGTGAACACTCAAAATACATTTAAATATATGTATATGTGGCTATTTAATAAAAAAATCATTACATATCTACTCTTGCGAAATTTGCGTAAATTTTTCAGAAGAATGCAATTTACTTAACAATTCTAACTTGTTAACGCATTTTAGAGCATACGACTCTGAAGAAAAGGTATTTGGCAATTTAAAATCTCGCAGCGAAAAATTTCTCTCTTATATATTCAAATTAGAAAAAATATTTATATCTCTATTTGATAGTTTGTCAACTAAGCCTGGAATTTCCAACGCATACCTTTTTGAGATGAGTAAAATAGAATTTGGTCTTTCTTGCCAACAATTTGCGAAAATGTACACTATTAAATTATTTATAAGACTCAGAATTTTTTATACTCTTAAATATGCAAACAGAGATTTGAAATCCTCGAAAAAGTCAGACAAAACCAAAAGAAAAATAAAAATGTCCCATTTATAAATATTATTTTTTTTTATCATATTTTGACTTCTTTATAAAAAAAGTTATTTTTCTTTGTAGTTTTATTTCTTAACTATTCCAATGGTCAAACTAACGGTTTTTCGTAATGACAATAAATAAATTATTATCATGGTCCAACAAACGCGCACCTTTGTGAGGGAGCCGGTAAAGATACCTCTGCGTACATTCATTTTATCTAAGTTCATATCTGATCAAAGACATTATCTGATCTAGGACAGCGCCCCGCTTGTGACGTATAATCCATATGTGTTCATCTCTTGCTAAACGATATTGTCGTTGTCCTTGTTTTTCGCATCATAATGAGAGAAAACAACAGAGACACACATTTACTGTGCCCATCTTCTTTCGGAATTCTCGGAACGTCACTCAACGCCCGGTCGTCCAGTGTCGTGCCAACGCTGTTTGCGCTGAATATTAGATACAATAATAATAGGCATTGAGGAAAATATAAAATATGTGTTATTTTTTGGTTTATTACTAGGGCACGTGCCCAAGTGCCCTTACGGGCAAACCGTCACTGGAGGAAAGGCTATCTTTCAGACTATGCGCTGGTTCAGTGATGATGTATTTATGGTTCCACTGACAATTAAAGTGACAGTAGATTGTTTGAGTGCGTTTTGTTCATTTTGTTTACCTAAATTATATCGTTTCTTCACTTTTATAAATATATTCCTAAAGTAAGTAGATAACATGCATCAAATATGCAATCGTTTAGTTACCAATTAGATACCTTTAAACTATTTTTTATGACCTGTAAACAATATTTGGAAATAAACTAAAAACAGTAAAAACGTATACGTCAAATTTATTGATGTTTATGTTAAAAGTTTGGTTAGAATTAAATGTCAGTGGAACCAAAATGACATCACACTGAACTAGCGCATTAGTCAAAACAATTTACGAAAAATGTTCTAAATGTTTACCAAAGAGCTCTGGCTTATATAAAGAAGTGGTATCCCTTTGAGAATAATAATTTCAAGACTTTCAGTTGTTTAGACCTATAAACTGCCCAGATAGCACACCAAATCCTTTGGATATCTACTGAACATCCCAATATCCACTGAATGTCCAGTCCATGGTAGATATCTATTTTATATCCATGAAATGTAATTTATAGACATGCAAATGTCCATAAATAATAGTAATTATATAGCAAATTATTAAAAAATTACGCCATTGTGCTCGCCATTGTGACTAATAGTACCGTTCAGATATTTAAAATTAATTTTTTTAAGGTGTATTCAATATCCCATGAACATCCATTAAATATATCAAAGTCTAGGAGCGAACACAAACCATCGTGGATATCCACTAGATGTTATTTGATTCTGCTTACTAAGTATAGATGGCGATACCACTATCGCATCTACTCATGCTCGACCCGCCGTAATTGAGTTCAATCGAAATGTGTGTCCTAATCACTCCATTAGAGACTGGAGTCGAGATTTTTCATTTATTGCTGAAGAGTCCTAATAAGTTGAACATATTTTGAGTGTTGAAAATATTTTTATCTCTGCTATTTTCTTTCGGCGTTATTCAATAATCATTGGTTACTTATGAACCTCTACTAAAGATTAAATATTTTGCTGAATATCCGAATATCTTCTATATCCTGGGATGTAGACGGACATTTGGTTGGATATCCATATTGGATATATTGAATATCCACAAAATATATTCTGTGGATATCTCTGTGATTTTTTGTATTTTCTGGAAGATACCCATTAGATATTTTGCTGAATATCCATTAGGATATCTTCTATATCCTGGATATAGACGGACATTTGGATATCTATATTAGATCCACGGAATATTTCTGATATCCTGTGGATATATTTGATATCCACAAAAGATATTCTGCGGATATCTCTGGGATTTGGTGTGTTGTCTGGGTGGAACATTGCCTACGCTGGATCAACCGATTGATTTGTGGTTAATTTCTTCCTCCTGAAAACATGTATGATTACAAACTGTTTTTCCTGCACTTGAAGAAAAAACAGTGGATAGGTATGTGGTGTACATTTTTCAGGAATGAAGCAGCATCAAATTTGCAAAAAATAGTTCAATATTCAGCATTCCTATAACAAATGCCTTTGTTGAAAGGATATTTAGCTTTATGGGAAATATTTGGAAAGACAAAAGAAATCGTTTGTTCCTAGAAAGTGTGAAAAGCGAACTTTGAACATCAAAAGCAATTGCACTAAATTCAAAAATATCATATCAGGCATTAGAGACTTGTTAAAAGCAGTGGCATCTAATGCCAAATATGTTAAAAAGTAGTCTAACTTTGTTTTTTTTATTTGCACTTTTATGATTTTTGTGTTCTGGATCTGACCTCATGTTATTATATTTTTTAATAAAATATATAATTTATAAGTTTTTTTTTTGTGTATGGTTGTTCGGATGTTCGTTTTTTTTTGTAGTACATCTAGATTCAAATGATGTTCAAATGTTGCAAATTACTTATGACAGTGTTGCCAAATTTTCATTTTTTTTTTCAATAACTGGTAAAAATAATATTGTTGTGTATCACGTTCACTGACAGACCAGTTGTTACGATACACATACCCTCTTTCACACGAAGATACAGTATGCCAGATACGCGTATACAGTATCGATTTGGTTTCTCTTTTTCTAATCCAATAAATACAACTCGTACTGTTCTCGAGTTCTTTTATATATTCTTTTGGAATACCTAGTTCTCAATTTTTTTAATATATTCATACTCATTTAAATAAACCTTACATACAATGGAGGCGATGTAGTATTTAGATTTCTCCCTAGTTTTCTTTTCTTCTTGTACGCATCTCGCAGTACACTTCTCTGATCGTGTTGTAATATGAAGACTAGAGATAAGGAGACAAATCGGCATACTCGAAATATGGTTCCAAAAAACGAACGCTAATTGAGCTTTTTTAATTCACCGCATGGGTGCTGGTGCTAGTAGCGCTGTTCAAAATACATGGCTTCTTGTGGGAATTTTATTGCCAAATAAAGCATACAATTTACTGTTGTATTTTTTTCTAAATAAGTCTCTCATGTTTTAATTGATAAATTATTTAATTTTATCTATATAAAATGCAATTTAGGTAGGTATGACCCAATTCGAAAAGATTTGTTAAATGGTGAAATTTGGTAAGTAATTTTGTGTCTAAATTTTTTTGAATTATACCTGAATATAATAGTAGTTAAGAGCAAAATAAAACACAGTTCAAAGAGTTTTTATTGTTACAATAGAAGCATAAAGGGAGATTTGGAAATGTATATAATATTGCCACATCCTTTAATTTCGGCTTTCCTCTTTTTATTTTGCTAACAGTACCATCAGTAAAAAGAGTCATAATATTTGGAAATATCTTCTAAAAAGTGTAGAACAGCACCATCTCTAGAAAGTGCTTTATCCGCCCTAGGAACGATATATATGCTGCCACTGTTCGAAGCGTTTTGGATCCTATAAAAAACATTTACAATGACATAATTTGTGTTTAACAAAAATATAAATTTTTATTTTCTATGAAGTTAAATTTAATGTATAATTATTGTTTGTAAGTCAGGATCTATGACTGTAAAATTTTATATTATAGAAACTTGTAATAAAATAAACTACACTCCGTAAGATACGTGTTGTGACTAGTTTACAATAAATATTATATTTAGACATAAATACATTATTTTACTTACATTAGAAGCTTTAAAAAGACATTGAATTGATTTCTCCTTGTGTTTTCTTTAGTTTTACATGTGATTTGTATCTTGTTTTACAATGTGGAACGAAGTAAATCTTGCTATGTTTTTGTCACTCATATTACTTGTACTCAGGTACTTTTTTCACATTATTTCGATTTTTTACAATGTTTTTAGAAAATCACTCTATTTTACATTGACTTATATAGAAAATGAACGGCAGCGACTTTTGACCTGCCAACTACAGTCAATTTGGCGAACTTTATAAAAAGAAGGCCAGAAATTTGGTCATTGCCGATTCGCCTTCTATAGTCGTCCATAAACGATAAATTACTGAATAGGGCCCTAAGTCTCGATTGCAACATAGTACTCCTCAAAGTATTTTTAATTTCGAAAACGATATCTCCGCAGAAGTAGTAGTCACTGAAATTTTTAAAACTAATAAAAAAGCAATATATAATTTTTTTAAACTGCGTTGGCTGTGTAATGATCACAAATCAAAAGTTTAAAGTGACATATTCAAAAAGCAGATCTGAAGTTTAATATTTCAACTGCAAGATCAGATTGCGCCTAAACCTTGCTGGCATCACGTAGAAGTAAAGTTGCTGACCCAGATCCCCGGTAGCTACGCCACTGTTGTCACCCGGTAGATGGTAAACACCTTAGAATATAGTAAACACAATCCTTCCTCCCGAGCTTCCTTCATGGTAAACACCATGAAGGAAGGATTTAATTAAACACCATGTATGGCGAAAAAATAAGCAGGGCCGGTGGTAGAGCGTTGAACCCATGTGTGGAGTAAAAGAAGGGGGTGAAAGAAGGGAGAGAAGGGAAGTGGAAAATCAAAACAAACTCACTTTTTATTATGTAATTATTTTTTTATTAAAGCGAAAGGTGCAGTCCTTTCATAATTAAGTAGGTACATATTTACAATATTATCCATGTCGAGACTGTCAAACAATCTCTGTAAAAATAATAAATATGCAAAAAAAGTGTGCCATGCAAAATATTTCTGTAGTGTCAAAGTTATCAAATTAAAAGCTAATCAAAAATGTATCAGAATCATTTATTAATCAATAAAAGCTATGCATTTGCTTTTATACTTAACATGTTTTCTTTTATTTCCCCAACAATATTTTGCATTATTTGGAAATTCTTTAAAAAAGCTACGCGAAAAAGCTTCAAGTATGTATAAAACCCAAAAAAAGGGTGTACATTTGAATTTTATGGGAAATGTAGCGTCTGATTATCCAGGAACAAATCCGAAATATATAAAAATCAACGAGGATAATTGGGAAGAGTATTATTCCTGTCTCAAAAAGCAGGAAGAGAATCTTGGAAGACAGTTATCTATGACCCCGCAAGCGATAGTCGGTTTTGAAGGGGCTAGCGTGAAATTGGAGTGTAGAATTTGCATTAGTCCTTTAGAGAAAGAGAGTAAAGAACTCATCAAGTGGGAATGGGCTCCAATAGGTATTTTTCGAGATAATTTTTCTGATTTTTTTTTTATTTTGATGTAATGTGTATTTTGTATTTTGTAACACATGACGGCTTTATGTAGTTTAACATCCAAGCAACAAAGGGAAAAGAAAAATTACCAATTTACTCTCATCAAAGAAAATTTTTATGGTTCAATTCTTCTCACTGTTTTTTCTACACAATAAAAGTAGGTAATTGTATTTCCTTCATAATTTCTAAAAATGGGATGTCTTTTGTAGAGGGCAAACATCTGGAACCTGTCGATTACAATGAAAACATCATAATTTCTCCCGAAGATAAAACCCTACACCTGTACAATTTAGAAACGAGCCATTCAGGCCAATACATGTGTGTTCTCGCCGATGCCTCGACAACTCCTTATTTTCTGACCATCATCGGTCTTAACGAAAGCGAAATTTTAGAGGTGCACAGTCCCGAAGCTCCAGTGGGTCCTTATCCCAAAGATTTTGAGTATATCCAGCAGTACGATTTGATTTTGGATACGGAATGGAGTGATTGGTCGACGTGTAGCACATGTGATAAAATTGGAAAAAGGCATAAGTTAGGTATGACCATTAGTGGTTGCTGCTTAATGTTGTAGACGGCGGTCTGTCCATATATCATTAATATGTTTGAGTATTCTAAATTATAACTGGACAATATGAAGAGTTAACCCAAATCACTTGGGCAAAATATTGCTCCTTACTGAGTTTTATTTAAATATTTAAAAAATATTTTGATCACTATTTTAATCCTACTTGACTGTCAATTCTTTATGATATTTGGCAGTAAGTTCAAGTAGTTTGAGACACATCAAATCTTCAAATTTTGAGCTACAAATATTCCATTTAAAATATTTACACATATTATTGAAACACATATTAATAAAACACATCAATGAATCACATATTAATGAAACACACAATAATGAAACACATATTAATGAAACATATATTAATGACACACATATATTAATGACACACATATTAATGAAACATAAATAAAGGCACACATATTGATGAAACACGTATTAATAAAACACATATTATTGAAACATATCAAAAAAACCCATTAATTAAACCCATATTAATGAAACCTTAACCTTCGGGCAGGCGCATGTATCCCTCAGATACATCGTAATTTTCTTTTCATTTGTACTACCGCGTTTAAAGAGCAAGACCTAGACCTTTCCGCTCCTATCTACCTTCCTGGCTCCAGTGGTCCTATCTAAGAGATATTGATATTTTGTATCTTACAGTTACACACGATAGTTTATGTAAGTTATTTTAAATTCATATTTTTTTATTTCATTTACGGTTTTTGAACGTTTGCTCCTAATGTATAAATATGTTTGCAATATATTTTTCTTTTGTCATTCTATATGATAAAATATAATGAAAAGATACTATATGTATCTGAGAGATACATGCGCCAATGTATGATGTATTTATGTTTTAATTTTTTGTAGGCATTAAAATGGCATCAGGAAAAAAGAAATACGATCTAGTTGAGAAATCTACTGATACTGATGTTTATTTTATACCAAAATACGGTAGTGTATCTATGAGATACATGCTCATGTAACTTTATGAGCGCGCCTGCCGGAAGGTTAATGAAGCACATTTTTTTTAATGAAACATATTGACGCCACACATATTAATGACACATATCAACACATCAATGAAACACATGATGTAAACCCATATTTAACCTAACTTACCTGTATTCATAATCGTCTTATTAAGCAGGATTAAAAATGTTGTTAAAAAAAACATTAATTTTGTGCATGAGTAGGTTGTGATCGATTTTTATAATTTTTGGTACGGCATATTCTATGATTATAAGTCACGTTTTGAGATGGGTTTAGTCTTCATCAGCAAAAATTTCACAATATAAATTTGGTGATAACTTTTTAGAGCACTGAAGTACTCGTAGGGCTGCATAGATAACGTCAAGTCTCAGCGAATTAAATTGGGAAAAGCTAGAGATTGTCCATCTGTGGTAGTTTGCCAAACGTAGACAGATGGGTTGTTTTCTTCTTCTGTTCTTCTGCCCAGTCGTCCTCGTCACATCTGTGCTGACTGAGTCAGGAAAGTATGTTGACAGCAAAAGTTTGATGCTATCTTCGAGGTTTGTTTTTCATGCCATTCTCTTTGACTAGTGCACCACTCCCACGACAATGATCTCTTGAGAGAGCCCTTTGAAGCCTTGCTTACTGCGAAGAAATCGAAGATTTTTCGCAGTTTACTCTTCATGCATCTTTCTCTTTTTGTCAAGATTAGATTAGAGTAAATTTAAAAGGATTTGAACATTATTTGCCTTTGTCCATCGCGACCTTTTCAGGAACTTCAGTATTTAGAGTATGTCCTCTAGCTTGCTTTTTTTTATTAGACTTATTAAAAGCTGCTTAGATAGCAGAGTAGATGGCAATAGTTTTACCTCATACGTCCTGATTTATTATTTCACTTGCACAGTTTTGTATGGCTATTATTTTAGCCTAGAACACTGTTGCTTATTCTCTTATATTACGTAAAATCGTTTTCTCAATTGGGTCCAAAGATTCCAGCATAGGCTTCTTTCTTTATTTTTGAACCATCTGCATACATGACCTGTATGGGAGGTCTGTTTCCAGCATTCTCAGTCTGGTATTTGAATTTGAAAATTTATTTCAAATTTACCATGATTCTTTTCCATCTTTCGGGTCTGAGTTATTGATATTATGTCGTAAGGAGGTGAGATTTGTAAGTGTCCCAAATCCCCTTTAAGTCTTGTGATTCTTGCCTTAATTAAAGATTTCCTTGCCATCTTTCTGAGGTGACACCATCATGCGGTAGTCGTCTCATCGTGTTTGATCAGTCTCAGGGGACATGATTTCTTATAGGCATTTTTTATTGTGTTTTGGATAGTGTTCGAGTAACCCTGAGATTAGCGCCCAAGAATCAGAATAATTCTCTCTATAAAAATGATTTTGTTGTCCTAATTTTTTTATTTTTGCCTATTTTAATACAATGTATTTGTCAACTGTAGTCTTTTTATGAATCCATATAATTTTGGATGAATTTTCACCATTTGTAATATGTTTCATGTTTACTTTATGTAAGTATAAAACACTTTGTTATATTATTCTTACTTATCATGAATTTCCTTTGTATTATGGGTCTGAAGATGGTCCAAAAGGATCAAAACTAGTTTCTTAGTATTTAATTAATAAAGTGATTGTATTATTCTTTCTTCAAGAACATACCTACATATATATGTTGGAGGGAGTAAGCAATTTACCATTCTCTACTTGGATGATAGAGTGTCATAATTTCTGCCAAAGGATTGCTGTATTCAGTGTTTTATCCTGTTGGATGCCTTTCTATATAGGTGTGGAGAGTATTATAGTAGAGTCTACAAGGCCGCGGTGCATACGTATGTGCATGGCACCTACTTATAGCCTTCTATGGATGTGGTCTTGGATTGAGCTATCAAATTTTTCCGAAGAACACTTCCATATTTGGTTATTAATATAACTTTTCGTATACTTCCTTCGAATATTGACAAACTGTAACAACCAATCTCCTGTATTAATTCAAAGGTTTTGTTTCAGCTTAGTACACGTTTTTAACGTTTAGGGTCTATTCCCTGTTAACATCTCTCAGCTTGCACATCTCTAGTGACTGCCATAGACTTACTTTATTATTTATTGAAACGTATATTTTAAGGTTATTGTACAATTTACTCCAAACAAAATCGAGACCTGACAGTTTCTTCGAAAATTCTGAATAATTCTTTAATCGTCGATGAAGACAATTACAGTACGATAGACGAACTCATCGAGATCGACTTCAATATCAGCACCGTCAGTACTACTGAAGAACAAATAACAGGCCAGACCGAAGCTGAATCGATAAGCAGCACCGATTTGGAATTATTCACTGTTTTTGAGTTTGGTATACCTTGCGACTCGCATATTTTACCTTCAGTCGTTAGGAAAATACCCCAGATTAAAGCCAGAAAAAATGAAATCATGATGGGGTTTTGTAGAGTTAAATGTGAAAAAAATACAGTGTTTGTTGTCAAAGATAGGCACGGAAATGTTATTGAAAAGGTAGGTAATTCGTTCTTTCACTATAAGCATTATTTAGTTGGCTTATTTTAAACTTTCTCATAAGAATATACTTTTTTCTACGATCACTACCCAAAATAATTTGCACATTCAAATCTAACTGTAAAGTTGGCGTTTCCAGCGATTTGTTATAATTTGGCATTATTGTCGCTCTAGAGAGTGCCAAAGTTGCTTCTCACGATTGCTTTTCGCGATTGCTTTTCACTGCTTTTCATTATTAAAACTAATCGGAATTTTAAAACAAAATTAAGACTTATCTTAATATTTTAGTTGAACATCTAATATTCAAACCCATTTCTTTTGATATTTAAACGATAATTCGGGCAGAAAGCTATTTGCCGCTTACGATAAATGTTTATCTCGAGCGGTAAAGTAGCATTTTCCGCTTTTAATACACAAATAGCTATTGCTGAGATAAAACTGAAACAAAACTTTTTTTTTGAGGTAAACAATTCAGCAGGGTTGTATTCTCTTAAGCAACCGATGCCTCCACTTGAACCAGCGGTGGCCAGGACACTTGTGTATGGAATCAAAGGCAAAAGTATCGTTTTGTCGTGTCCCGGCAGCATGAATACAGACGCTCCCATCCAGTGGCAATTAGGCGATAAAAATTTGATCCCAGAAGTTATTGCTCAAGAATCTAACAGAAGAATATTTATTAGGTGAGTTTTTTCATTGTTTATTATAGGTAGGTTACTATGCTAGATCAGTATTGTATCGAGTTGTTTGCATTCATCTCTTATTGTAAGAAATTAAGATGAATGTGGGACGTGTCTGGCTTTAATTTTTAAAATAATCATAATATATGGAAGCCCTCTCACCACGTCGAGGTTACAACTCTAGAGAAGAAAAACAGGAATAATACCACGTTTCTTCTCAATTTTTCTGATAACATCTAAAACGCTTTTAGACAACTCAGAGTAATTGAGTATTTACTACCGATAATAGCAAACAATTCGACATTAAACCCGAGAATATCGGATTAAACCGTTTTCTTACAGACACGTAATGTTAAAATACGTTTTCCTCTATTTGAAAGGAGCATTCACAGAACATTTAGCAGATTGATCACTCCATCCTTTCTTTACAATATCATGAGTATTGTACCAAGTCTCATCTAGATAGACTATGAATCTATCTTGCATCTTCACCTGTTCATTTTCATCAGTTCATCTTCACCTGTTCTACTGAGGTGTTCATTACGTAAAATAATAAATTATAATTCGAGATTCCATATTAATTTGTCTTCTATTTTTAGTACGATATTAAAAACCGACTACCGCGGCTTGATATATATTTTTTTCTTAAAAATTGTTTTGCAATATTTAATTTCCAATAAGAATAGCGTCCTAGTCTCGCGCCTTCCTGGCGTCAGCTTAATTACCTTAGATATCAGTTCTATTTCTGCCAATCTTTTGAGTATTTGAAAAACTAGGTTATCCGGTTTATTAAGTTATAATATATAAAAACTAAAGAACGGAGTACTTTTGTCTGGTAGTATTATTATTGGGATTAAATGGGAAACCCGAAACCAACTTGATTTCATGGCCCTGGTCTTTGTTTACGCGTTTAATAGATCGTCGTATGTGTTCCGTTTTCGCTGTCCGCCTCGAGACTCTAGACTAGAAGTTACAGGAAGATTCTTTGTGCGCGGGCTGTCTCTTAGAGGAAGGATTTCGAAAACGTATAGACTAGCATCGAGATTCTTTGAGACAGTATACTGGATTTTCCTAGGCTTATTTTTGAATATAAATGGATTATTTTGCTCTTTGAGTTTAGTTTTAGAAATTGAAAGAGTAAAGACACATTTTTAAAGTATATATAAATCAGTGTAGTTTTGAATACAAATAAATTAGTTATAAAATAAATTTAGCGAATATAAATTAGAATAATTAAACTATTTAAAATAAATAAACTTAATAATTTTTAGTCATATGAAAATCACTGGTGGATCCATGGGGCAACGGGACAATTGTTCCTTTTCACTTGAGACAAACAACACTAGTAGTTGATACCTTTGACTTCTGTAATACAATGCTATGAACCCAGGTAATTGCCCCCCATCTCGGAACGGTTCTGGATCCGCCCCTGATGAAAAGATGGCACAATCATTAGAATAAAAATTAAGTTTATGACGCCTTCGATTCCGCTTTTCACATGCAAACACTTTTTGACTAGATGAACCGTACTCAATATATTTGATAACTTTATTGGAAAGTCATGTTGTGAACACATGATTTAGATATTTAATATTATTTATGTTTTAGTATTACCGACAAAATACACATAAAAGATGCGAAAATTGCCGATTCGAACATTTATAGCTGCTGGCAAAGAGAAGAACTGGCAGGAACAATAAGATTAGTCGTTGAGAAAAAATTGGAGTTCAATTTCAACCATACCGTTATGCTGATTGGTATTGTAATTATCATGTGTGTATTCCTGCAGGTGTTTGTTAAAGCCATTGTAGGCAGGAAGTACGCAAAAGTTTAAAAAATTATTTAAATTGTTTATTGAATAAAAGTTCTTAGTGTCATAGGTGTTTTTTACAGTTTGCGAACATATTTTTTTATTGAATTTATTCCATTTTTTGGCATAAAAGACACATTAAAAAAATGTAAATATTTTGTATCTTGTTTAGATTGTAGATCATGTTTGTGAAATTGAATTCCGAAAAACAATCCCATCTAGATCCATATCTGAAAAAGAGATAAAAATGGTATAGAAAAACAGATACTTAAAAACTTAAAATAAAATAGTTTATTTTGTAACGATTTTAAAGTGGTTATAAACTTTCATTTTTAAAAGATAGCTGTATATAATTAAATAGCGATAAACAATATACATTTACTATTTTTATTTTACAGTTACTGGTTTATCGCAGAAGAACTTTGTTTACTCAAAAATCGGATAATATAAAAGCATGGTCGCACTATAGGGGACTTAAAAAGAAAAGTAATTTTTAAAGAATAATATGATAACATTCGAGGATGATGCACAATGCACAATGAAGCCTAAATACTATGGAGCTTAGTCCACTCTCGCAGTTTTACATGTAAAGAGATAGTAACTAATCAGGGAAACATAGAAAATGATAAATCAATTACATTTTATATTGTTATACAGGGTAATTCCAAAGTTGATACTATTTTTTTAACTGTACATTAGAAGATATGATAGAAATCGATTAATACAAAATTAACGGTTCTGAGTGTTTGTCTAAAATGTTTCTGATAATATTATATAGTATTTTTTGTCGGACCATCCTGTATACAGTATAGAAGTCTTCATTCTTCAATGCAAATTTACATCTTTCCATCTCATTCTCCTCGAAACTTGTAGACTGTGTAACGAGTACCTATGTATACAATTATTACTGATAGTAAAAAAATGCATTTTTTTCCCTATTTGAATGCAACACATAATAAAAATTGTTTTATAGTCGCTATATTTGTTTTGAAAGTATATTGTTCTGTTAAAAAAATAAAATCAAATAAATAAATAAACACATAATATAATTTGAGTTCACAATAAAACCTGGTGATATTATTGTAATGACCACATATTATTAAATAACAAATAATAATTATATTATTAAATAATTATCATTCAGTGACGAATACAGGATTCATTATTTAGGGACGTACCGAGCCTAGATTTAATCATATTCGTAATTTAATAGAGTGTAATAAATTTGAGATCTTCGAGGGATTTTAAGCCGTATATAAATATTAAAGGCGTTGGCAACTTAAGGACGGGGTATATCTGTTTATTTCATACCACACCGAAATAATTTAGAAAAAATTTACACTTTTTTGGAAATTTACATTTTTTCTGTAAATTTCATGCAAAATTTACTACTGCCCAGTAATACGACGCCACGGCATCGACGTGTTATTTTTTCAGTAGTGAGAAGCGAGCCTTATTCTACGCCGCGCAGGTTGAGTTGCCATTCTGCCGACGAAATACACACGGTGCCAATTTGAAAACGAACAGCATTTAATATTGCCTCTACAAATGATAGTATGAAAATTTAACGAAACACGTCAATTTACAAGAGCCCACTGCAAATTTTTACCATCTTCTGATAACGAAATGAAACATACCCCAAAAGTATGTAAAAACAATGTACTTTACCAAATGGCACCTGTGCCAATCCCAATCCTGAGCAAAGTGGTTAAAAAAAAATATTTTATATTAATAAAATCAAATATGTTATGTCTAACAGCGCTAGTTTTGTTTGCCCTTAAATTTTCAGAAAATAACATATTTAAATATATCTTGATATATATCGTTAAAGGGAAACATTTTCTTCCTCTTAACATTGCACAAAAATATCTATCCACGATTAGTAGGTAAAAATCATTAAAAATATGAATCAATTTTTGCTGATTTAAAAATTTATTTGTTGTTATTTATTGTTGTTATTTATTGTTGTGATTCATTTTTACAGGTTGCCATAGAAACGACAAAAAACTACTATGATTATGGTTTAAAAGAATTGTCTAACAAGAGTCTATAATTATTATTGACTATCTCTACAAATGGTTTATACAATGCCATCCTTCTTCCTTTCACTCATACACATGGTTTAAAAGGTAGGTAAAAATAATAATAATTCAGGTTTAAAAGCTAGGTTCACAATGAATTAGGATTGTAATTTTCAGGGCAAACACAATTGTCGCTGTCATTTCTTATGTGATTTTTTGAATATAAAATATTTTTTTTTAACCACTTTGCTCAGGATAGGGATTGGCACAGGTGCAATTTGGTAAAGTACAATGTTGTTACACGCCTGTGGAGCATATTTTATTTCGTTATCAGATGACGGTCGAAATTTGCAGTGGGCTCTCTTACTATATAGTTACTAATCTACATGTACTTTAAATATAGAAAAATATTTAGCAAAAATACTTTATTTCATAAAGGAATGTAAATACTCTAATAGGAAAACGTTTATTTTTTGGCTAAATGAGATGAAAAAATAATCTAAACAATAATCTTTTTTGCAAACTTCACACTCATACTTTGATCTCGCACATTACTGAGCTGCAATCTGTCCATGCAGAGTTTTGGTTATAATATAGCAAATCCTATATCTAATGGTTTTCTTCTGTAGATTTTAAACTGTCTTCTTCTTTTTCTTCTGGTCATCAATTGGCTCAATGGTAACTAAAGCCATGGCTAAAAGTTCTTTGAACTTTGTGATCAATATTTTATTTTGTGTAAAATCTTTATATACTATGAAAGCAATTACCATAGCTAAACCAAACCTGATTTCGGTTGCTAGTTTTATATACCATTTAGTTCCTCTTTTTAGACACGTAGGATTTTATTTAATGCGACATGTCAATGTAGGCTTTAGATTTAATATAGTCAATGATGACTTGAGGTTTTTATATTTCATTTGTCCGTTTGTTCTTGATGAGTTATCTGCAGTTAGCACGCGGTCCCAGTATTTGAAATCAAGCGCTTGGACCGCGTGTTATCGAGATATTGCACGCCCAAAAACAATATTTGGAAATAAAGAAAAAAATTGCAGATATCATGAAACAATGTTTTATTAAGTTTCTAACTAGTATTTCAAATAAAAAGATGCCGGTCTGTGGGATCAGATTTGGCTTTACGACAGCGGTCGTTAACGTGTTAAAATAATCAAGATAAATTTATAGGTAGAATAAATGCATTAAAAATTGGAGACTTGCTTCTAACAAATTTTTCTGAATTAGATAATAAAATTTCGAGTATCGAAATAAAAGACTACAAAAACGTTAATTACCTTATTAGTCAAAAAAGCAACAAAATATTCGTAGAAAATAACATTGAAATGTACATTCCTAAATTTATAGTAACTAGACAGGACGTTATTCGTGATATAGACCCCGAATTATTGGAAGAATATATTAAAAATAAAATTAGAAATTATGATAGATATTGTAATGTAAAACGAATTAATAGAAAAGTCACAAATGACGGAAAAATAGAATTTGTCCCCACAAGCTCTTGCGTAGTTAGCTTTAAATCGCAAACTCTACCCAAATGTGTAACGATTAATACAGTTTTAAAAGAAGTTGAGTCATATAAACAAAAAGTACTACTTTGTTTTAATTGTCTGAGATACGCACATTTAGGAAAGCAATGCAATTCAAAGGCTAGTAACAAATGTAGGTAAGTAACAACACAACTCAAATGATTGCAAAGAAACCGAATTCACATCAAAATGTTTCAGTTACTCCGGGGATCATTTCACCACCAATCTTAGCGCCTGCCCAGAATTCAGTAGACAAAAATTAATTAAAGATTTCATGTCGACAACAAATATAAGCTATCACGATGCAAATAAACAAATACCTAGGAATTTTTATGCAACAGTGGCCTCAAACAAATAAAATAAAATATTAGGTCCAGGACAGACAAATAAGCATATCTCCAATAATTATTGGATTATGGATTGGATTGGATCCAATAAATATTAATACCCCTGGCCCCAGTTATAACAATTCTCAGACCTCTTAAAGTCGTCAGACAGTCTTACAACTCATTTATAAAACAAATTACTGACCAATTACACCTAAGGGTAATAAAAGGCAGAGACCAAATAGCCCTGACCCTACAAGTATTGTTTATATAGAAATTATTTCACAGTAAGTATACAAATCTAGGTCCCAGTACAAGCATTTTAAGAAACCCAAATTATATTTCAAACTTAGTACCGATTAATAGTTCACAATCAGACGGAACACCAGAAATAGAACACAATCTAGTAAAAGTAATTTTAGAAACTAATATTTTACAGACAATTAGAGAAACAAATAACTTTAATGTATCAGTTAATGACTTAAAACAAATAATTAGTACACAATTAAATGTAAATATTTCTGAACGTTCTGAAAATTTACCAAATTCGCAGACATAGACCAGAAATTCAAGATTTTGCAGTGGAACTGCCGATCGGCGGTTTCCAACAAAGGAAATCTTGAATATCTTCTCTATAAAAAAAATGCAACTCTTGTACTTTTATCAGAAACTTGGTTCAAGCCAGGCATATATTATAACTTTAGAGGATTCAATACAATCCGTGCAGACCGTAATGACGGATACGGCGGCGTAGCTATATTAATTAAAAAAAATATTTTCTACAACGAGGTACAAATACAAAAACCCGTGGGAATCGAATGCACTTGTATTTGGAATTTGAATCAAATCATTGCCTAATAATATATAATATATAATAATGTTCATTGCCTCAGCTTACATCAAACCTAGAACCTGGATAGAATTGCCTGGTTATGCGACTCTAACGATATCTACGGGAACACATTATCCCAAGCACTTAATCAGTGTAATCTCATATACTTAAATGACGGTTCCCCAATCGTTGTGGCTCTGGGCAGTAAAGTCGCGATTTATTTATTAATATGTACCCAAGATATTTCACAATATTTCTTATGGGCAGTCGTTAATGATCCACATGGATCAAATCATCTACCCGTCATTTGAAGTTCACAACAAATTCCTACAAAAGCTCGATAAATACAAACCATAACATTTGGTCACTAAAAAAAGCCGACTGGAATAAATATTATTCAACACTGGAAACCAGAACAGTTGCAAATAACTACAATGAACTAATTGACAACATAAATGCAGCAGCACATAATGTATTTCCAAGGAAAAGAACAAGCATTAACATCTATCAAAATCAACTTCCAAAACCCTGGTGGAAGTGTAACACTGCAGCTGGGAAAAGACTAGAAGCACTCAGAATATATAAATCTAATGCAATCGCAAAGAGAACTTTTAAACAAATAAAAAGAGAAAAATGGATCAAATATTGAGAGAAATTAAGCCAAAAAACACCTATTACAGAAGTAAGGAAAAAACTAAACAGATTTAAAATAATCCTCCGACTGACCGAGAATCCACGTGGATAGAAGAATTCCATGCAAAAATCTCACCAGACTGGGTACCTCAAATGAACCAACACAGCTTTAACTATGTACCTACCTAGAAATAATTTACGCCTTTTAAAATAATTTAGCAGCTGGGAATTAGAACGATCTTTGAAACAATCAAACAACACCTCTCCAGGTAAAGACAACATATCTTACTCTATGATTGCAAATTTATCTAACGAACACAAAGAATCACTTATGTATATTTCCATTTGGAGTGGAGGAAAGTTGGAAACAATACATTGTATTACCAATAAAAAACCTGGAAAATCTCCGGATCAATCTAACTCGTACCTACCCATAGCACTGGCATCATACATTCTGAAAACCCTGGAACGTCTAATAAAGAAATTAAAGAAAACAGGAGAAAAAGGAGTGCCTTAGATGCCAATAAATTGGAAGGAAAGCATCTTCGCTTGGGATATCCCAAGCGCCACATGTGGTTTGTAATATAAATTTTTAGATTTCTTCCTGCTATTCTGCTCCTACCAGTAAGATACTATTTACAAATCACATGTGGTGCTTGGGATATCATAAGGAAGGATGCGTTCCTTTTAATTTATTGGCGTCTTGTAATAGAGGAGAAATAAGAAGAAAATCAAGTGACTGTAAAGGACAATAAAGAAAACAGAAGAAAAAGGTGTGCCTAAGACGCCAATAAATTAAAAGGAAAGCATCCTTCCTTATGATATCCCAAGCGCCACATGTCACTTGATTTTCTTCTTATTTCTCCTCTATTACGTTTTATTTCTCTTCTACTCCCTATTTCATTTCCTCTCCTTTCTTCTCCCACCTTTATTTCTTATATGGTATGCTTGACCTTTCCTTTCACCCTCTCTCAATCCTTCTTTTCACTTCTCTTAGACCTCTTTTACCATTTCCTACCCGTCACAAATTTTGGCTTTTTAAACAAGCACATAATAAATCTCTGTACCAACACTAGACATCCCTAATTTATTATGTTCATGCCTTCCTCTACTCTTACACCAATTTAACACACCTCTCTTCCTCTATCCCTCCACATTAGTCTCTTTTCTCCACATTCTTCTTACCATAATAGCTCATAGAACTGATTCCTAGAAGTCTTTTAATTTGTTACTTTATAAGATAGTTTCTCCTCGATGATATCAGAAATCTGTTCTATTAACTATTACCCACCTTTTCTCTTCTCCCCTTCTTTAATTCGAGTTAACTCCTTACTCCAACTCCCCATCTATAATTTTAAGATAATCCCCCCTTTTTTAACTTGTGCTTCTGATTAAACTTTGATTTTATACTTTTTTCAAATACCACATAATCAGACAATTTCTGGACTTGAACTTATTGGACATTTGATCTAGGACTGACACACTCTCCTCTTTTTATATAACAATATAAGGTACGTTTATAAACCATTTAAAAAATGTGTTATTTTTATATACTCTTGATTATTCCATCTACTATGTAACCTTAAAATGTTAGGCCTGAAGATGGCCTAAATATGCCGAAACTAGTAGCCATATAAAAATAAAATTTTCTTTACTTATTATAATGTGCCCAAATCTCCTTGGGCAGTGAACTTTACTGAGTAATTGTTTATACATTTGTGGCAAAAAGAGAGATTAATTTACTTTAAATATGTTAAAATTGTAAATATTAATTATCATAAATTACAAATTTTATTATTTATAATCTAAAATATTTATTTAATTTTTGATTTATCATAGTGGTTCAAAATATTCTTTATATTTATCGAAAAATTATTATCTCTTTTGTTATACAATACATTTGTTTTATTCAGAACTCTATACGATAAAAATGTCATATAAGGTTGTTCATTTAGCCCACAAATTATTCTTGAAAGGAGTTGCTAGCTGAACATGAAACATTATATTTTTTATTATAATATATTTAATATATTTTGTCATTTTGGGAAAAAAAAATACAGAAATATTACATTTGGATTAATCGCTAAATATAATACTTTGGAGCAGTTTTCTACTGTCCAAAATTATTTTATGTTGTATAATAAATTGCCGATTCTTTCAACAGTATTTAAACATTCTTTCGGTGTTCCGCTACCAATTGGTATGTAACAATAATTCCCCCTTTTAAACAAATTAAGAGTGCTACACTGTTCAACCTGATAAAAATTAATCCAAAATTGAAGTGCTTGATAATAGGATATTCACGTTCACATTGCCGATATATTAAAGTAAAATCTGAATTGGCAAGTGACTATCAACAATATAATCAATCTACTTAAATGTGTGCATTTTTTGATCCCAGACACTGATAAAGACCAAATCCATAATAATATGCTGAGGTAAGAATTTTGTAAAAGCACATAATTTCTTTTTTATTAAATTGGGTTAAACTTTTAAAAAACTCGTAATTTATTTAAATAAGTATTATTAATAGTACGGTAGAGCGGTGTTATTTTGCCACAGTTTTAGCGTAATTTTGTGAAGAGTTCATTTATTTAGGTATTATTTTTTCCGAAATTCATAATAAGCGCTATTTTTATGTTTTTTATAAAGGTAGCCTACCTTATTTTTTCTAAAATTTAATGTCACCCCGTTATTGATATGAAATTATTCGCTGCTATAAAATTGCTTGGAAGCAATGTCTGTCAGCGAAATTAATGTATTTACACAAAAAATAGTATATTGTTTCACGAGTGACGAAAATGATTTTCGACGAGTAAAACACTATACTTTTTCTACGAACTCTATTATGTCATGTAGGTACCTACTAAAATGAAAAAAAAAAAAAAACAAACTTTAGCAAATGCTTTATTTTGTGTTAGAAATAACAAAAAATTAACCAACAATTAAATATTTCAGAAATATTATTTATTATTTGAATATTGATTTATTGTTATATTTGAACAATTGTTCAAAATTATGGGGGTATCCAGTGACGGATTTAGGCTTGCTGCCGCCCTAGGTCCCGTTCGATACACCGCCCTTTTTGATAAAATGAATTTCATTAATTTTTATCCAATATTTTTAATATACATCAGCTCACATACTTTAATTTAAAAAATTTCGAAATTCTTGCACGTGGATTTTCAGAAATTATTGAAATTTGTAGATGTAATTGAAGATTTTGCAAATATGAGAAATATCGAATTAATGTTTTTTTTTATTTTAGATAAAACTTTCAATTTTTTAACAGTTATTTTGATGATTTAAAAAATTGAATATGGAAAAAGACAGGATTTATTTTTCATAAAAAATTATTTTTATAAACAAAAAATGTTCTGACACTTTTAAATGAATATCATAACGATATTCAATACCCCTGAATAAAAAAAAATATTGAGACAAAGAAAAAAGTATTGAAAAGTATTGGATTGAATAGAAAACCAATACTTTTTGCTTTATGTTAATACTTTTTTTTTAATCAGGAACATGCAAATCTTCGGTATTTTTATTTCACACTATAAACAAATAGAGAAGTCATTCGGATTTAATAATTTCAAAATGTTTCATACACGTAAGATTAATCTCACTAAAGGAACAAAAAGTAAAGAATATTACTCGATAAAGACTATAGTTGATCGATTAAAAAATTAATATGTTACCCATACAGATTGAGAAGTAAATTAATGAATTGAATTATAATATTTTCTATCGAAAATTTTTTATAAAAACTAATCTGAACCAATTTTTGAAATTGATTGTCTTTACTTTTTTGTGCCTCTAAAATTTTGGCATTTCATAAATTTTGCCGCCCTTCAAATTATGCCGCCCTAGGCCCGGGCCTCATGGGCCTAGGCGTAAATCCATCACTGGGGGTATCACACTCAAGCTTTTTATTTATTGAGGTAGATGCCGACATATTTGTTCTACTGTTAAATGTCATTTCAGATGATGATGCGCCATAATCGGATGAACTAGTAGTTTCCTTATTTTGTACAGATTGTAAAATTTTGGTTTGTATTTGGTTTTTACTGTTCGTGGATTCATCAACATATCCTTCCGCAACACTACTAGATTTCCAACCACCGTGCTTTTTTAACAGAAGCAAGTCACCTCCTGCATCCACTAATAGCGTTGCGGATGTTCTGCGGAAACAGTGCTCAGTGTAATCTTGAGGATTCGGAAGCGTTAAAAACGAGCAATTTCGTTAGGAAATTTACTGATTTTATTAATTCCAACAACCTGTCTGCTACACTTTCCATTCTGATAGTTAATAAAGAATCTTGAATTAATTTGATCCACGTTTGCGGGACGTAGGCTCATATATTTTTTAGAAATATCATAAAAGGGTCCAGAAATATGAAAAGAACGCGGAACTTTTGTTTTTGTATTACGGATTTTAACTAACAGAATACTTCCAGTATCCTTTACATCGCTAATTGTTAAATCTTTTAGTTCGTGGCAACGACAAGCGCCAGTAATCCAAAAACTAATGCTACCTACAAATATTAGTAGTTATGTATTAAGTATTTGTTAAAATAAAAATAATAATTCCGTTACCTTTGTTATTAAATATTTATAGTCAGGTGCATTCTTTAGGAAAGTCTTTATGTCTTCAGGCGAAAAAATTTTGGATTTTTGGCTTTTAAAACCATCAGATTTTCTTTTCAAAAGCGAACGTAACTTTGGATATTTACTAATATCGACATCATTTTTAACAGAGAGTGTAGTTCTTAGCATCGAATAAATGTACCATAACGTCGACGGTTTAAAATTTGAACATATTTCTCCAAAGTATGCTAGTAGTACAGTTTCCGAAAATTATTTCACTTTATTTTTTTCTCTCCAGTCCAAAAATTTGATATAAATTTCTTCATATCTCTTTTTTGATTTGGCTGGTAATAAATCTGAAGAGGTTTCTTCAGCTTTAAAAATAATTTCTGGGGGAGTACAATCGCTTTCTGACTCAGACATCATGAAAATGTGTTAAATTTAGGACGAACTGAAACTGACAGTTCTCAAAAGTGATAAAACTTCAAATAAACAAATGAAAACCAGGAAACTAGATGTAGATTGGTTTAATTTGCACTATTTTTATACATTTTTATTTTATCTTTAATTCATTAAAGTTTAGGTAAAAACGCATATAGAATTTAATGAGCATCTTTTTATTTCATTATTAATAATTATAAGCTGCCAAAATATTATACGAGGCGACTGATATATGAAAATATGTAACAACTTACTTTCGTCACTAGAGACGAAAGTAAACGTTATGGGATTTTTTCTCACTAGTGACGGAAATCAAGTTTTCGCTGAAAGTATCCTGTGGCGAAAGATGTCTTTTTGTAAGAGTTCGTAGAAAAATATGTTTTCTACACTGACATGGATATTAGCTATTCTACGCACAAACTACAAAACGAGAAAGTTCGTGGTGTTCAAATTTGATTGAAGAAAATTTGAATAAAAAAGTATGTCATTACGTTTAACTGAACGAATATATTTCATATCTATTACATCTAGCAAGAACACTGCACAAATGTAAAATCCACCAATTACAGTTATTCATATTTTGGTCAGCCGGCTATGATTATTTTTTAAAATTTTAAATAAGTGACCATTCTGTCAAACTAATTGTCAATATATTTTTTTAGTTATTGATATTAAATATTCATTAAAATGAGATATTCTTGTGTAGAATGGATAAATAATAGCATTTTTATTTTTATTTTGTCTATATTTACAAATAAATTATAAATTTTATGAGTATTAAAACTAAAATGTTAGGTGTGACGATGAAGATGTGACTAGCGCTTTTGGTTGTTATGCGGGAGGTCTCGGGTTCAAATAAAGGATTGGAGACTAATTAAATTAAATCTTTTTAATTTTATAAATTAGTAAAAGTCATAAATGTTTTTTTCTTCACCCACATGGATATTAGCTTATCCACTCAAAGATTACAGAACGAAAAAGTATGCTATTGCCTTCAACTGAATGAATATATTTCGTATCCATTCTAGGTATAGTGAGAACACTTCAAAAAAATGAAATCCACCAATCACAGTTCATATTTTTAAAATTTAAACAAAGTGACAATTCTGTCAAACTAATTGTCAGTATATTTTTTAGTTATTGAGATTAAACATACATTAAAATGAGTTATTCTTATGTAGAATAGATAAATAAAAGAATTTATGTTTTTATTTCGTCTATAATTTTAAATAATTTGTTAATTTAAATAAAACTATATGCAGCCAATTTAATTAAGAGTATTAAGGTACCATTTCGGTAGGCGCGACAGACGACAAGCGACCACTGAACCGACCCCAAGGTCGAGTAGGACAACAGGTGCATACATTTTACGCTTCGTACATTTGGCAAGCTTGAAGTGTCGCGCGACATTTACAGGAATAACCATTCGAGGGAACAATCAGCGTTGCCAGACCTACTATTTTCACGTAGATCTACTGTTTTTGTTTCTAGCAAATTTTGTTCTTAATTTATTAAGTTTGCCTCATTCTTCAGCAAATGGGTAAAGAATATTTTCTCTAGTAAATTTTCTGCAGTAAAAGCAGCGTAATAAGCATCCACTACTGTAGGTTGGCTCCATAAAAAAAACATCAAGATAATCATTGTTTTTATTTAAAATGAAACAAAGAATTAATAGGGCATCATAAAAAGAACATGCATATGCCAAACACTACGATTTTGAATTATTCAATTCAGACTGATCTAAAAGAAGTAGGTACTTATTATTTTTCATTGGTTTTTTCCCGTACGTTAAGTATATATTAAAAATGTTTTTATTCTTTGTTTACTTTCTAATTTGGGTAGAAAAAAGTTTATTTTTCGTTTCTTATATACTTGTTTTTTTTTTACTACACTGCAAATTATAATTTTTTTCCCCTTTATTAAAATCTACTGTTCAGATCTACGGTTTTTTTTACCCATACTGTTTTAAAATCTGGCAACGCTGCCTAGATCGAAAGAAATTTCCGACCGAATCACCCAAAAAAAAAGCGATGCCGAGGACAGTGACCTCGAGTGCGATACGCAGCAAAGCTTTACACCGAGAAGTGTCTCCACGACACTTCTCGGTCGTGTCGCGCCGTGCGAAATGTGTTTTATATAATTGTATGTATTTTAGATGTGAAGCGACACTTCTCGGTCGTGTCGGCGGTCGTATGTCGCGTCGGCGGTCGTCTGTCGCGCCTACCGAAATGGTACCTTTAAAGCAAAAAAGATAAACGCATAGGTGGTCCTGGGGTCAGCGTTCTTACCTCGAGTTCGAATCTCAGATGAAAAATAAAATGAAATTATTTTTTTTTCTTGTTCATTTTGTTCTATAAATTAGTAAAAGTCATAAATTATTTTTAAATTAATTATATTATCTTAATAACCTAAAATAATTTTTAATATTTGTAGATTTTCGTTAGTGAGTCGTAGAAAAAATATACTGTACAACTCGAGTGGATTGTCCATATCCACTCTTGTTGCACAAATTACTATATTACTATTACTATCTTCTGATGGCGAATATAGTATAGTAAAATATCGACAAAATGGCGGGAGATAATTTTACACGTATAATTCTCATTTTCATTTAAATTTGTTGATTTTACATATTTTTTATTTTTTTATTTTTCAGAATACTATTTTTTCTGGTTTTTTTGGCTAGCTATGCTTCCTGTGCGGACCACGAAACATACAAAAATTGTTCGAGGGTGCCGTTTTGCAAGTAAGAGAATTTACAAAGAATAACAAAATTCTAATTTCCACAATTTGAAAATTCCCTTCTGACGTTACTGCCACAGAATCTATTCTGTGTCACTGCATATAGTTATAGTCTGAATAAAAGAGGAGTGCAGTAAAAGTGGGGATGTAACGTCACATTCCATAGGCACACTTTGTAAAATAAGTTTCTATAATATAAATAAGGTCACGCCATATAAAATGGTATATTTTGAATAAAAAGAGTTATACCTATTACTTACAAAAAATAAAAATAAACCTTATGCTTCTGACAAAATTGTTGCACTTTAACACTGAACGAATTAAATTTAACCAATAAAAATAATCTCTTGGCATTAAAAGTAACACTTCAGTGCCGAAAATCAAAGATTAAAAAAAAATAGAAAGTCCAAGAACTATCTTCAAAAGTCACTGTAACTACGGTATCATTATCATTTTTTTTCTGAGGGTCTATTAGGTTTTCAATTGCTATATCCACTTTCCAAAATGAATTTTCCACATTTTTAACATGATCAATGCATTTTTTTCAATGTTTTCCATTTACATTTGAAACTGCATTCAGAAACAAATTTTGCCCATCAAGTAATTTAAATAACATAACCTTTTAATTGTAACCAGCTCAGTTCAATGGGATTTAACTCTGCGTGGTAAAGAGGCAATCTGAGAATTTCAATTTCTTTTTCTCGGGCCATCTCATCTATAATATATATTTTTTGAATTTGTTTTTATGGGTTCCGCATAGAATTATGTAAGGTCACTTGGGATAAGAGCGCGTTGTTTGTGGTAAATATATTAATAAAAATCTAAATAACGATATTCTAAATAATCACACGAAAAAATTCAATTTTAGTGTGACATTTACCCTATGTTTACGGGATCAACAAAAATTTAAAAAAATATATTAATAAAATGTTTTATAAATGCCAATTGTTTGTTTCATTTAATTGTGTTGAAATGGTAATCTTTTTTATTAAAGTATTCTCATACAGGTTTTATATTTTTTACATTTTCTCAATATATGTATATTAATATTTGACCAGGGTTACCAGGTTTTCGAAACAGATATGACGAACAGACAGGGGATTTCAGGAGAAATAAGGGGGAAGTAAAACAACTTAGTCCATTTTCATTATTTTATTCAAAATTATTTATTTTTTAAGAAATTTTGGTGAAGATAGTCTTAGGTGTTTTTACAAATTAGGTAATCGCAAAGTTTTTATTTAAGGTACAAAAAAAGAATAGATGTCACAAATTTCAAACAAAAAAAGAAAACAAAAAAATTAACTGGACTAAAAAAAATAAAAAAAGATGAACTGAACTAAAACAAAAAAAAAAATGAACTGAAATAAAAAAAGGATTAAAACAACAAAGTCGTTTAGCTTTTTTTGTCGGGGTTTTCTCTTAATGGGTATTACTGCTGCCACTGTCAGCACTGTCTTTTGGAATCACCCATTTTAAAAGTCAATAATAAACACAAACACACACTCGCGTATCGGGGACAACATGTGGGGGACAACACTAATGATTTGTAGTGCGCATTTCGTACGCGTTTTATTTGTACATGGTCTCCTTTTGACAGAGTAGGTGAGTTGTGTCCAGGCCGTTGGTAATTATGACGGTCGGCGTAGCCAGGTATGGATTGAAATTTTCTGGTGGCGGCGAAGCGCTCACCCTACGAGAAGTCGTTGCTTCGTCTTCTTGTTGTCACGGCATTATTATTATTTGTTCATGTATGTGAAATTTGCTTCTAAGGTTTATAAAATACTACTGCTAGTAAATGAAAACAAACAAGACGCATTCACACAAACACCTCCCACCACAGAAATTACAAATCATTAGTGTTGTCCCCTATACGCGAGTCAAACACACTACGTTCACAGCACAGTACACCATACAGCAGAGCAAGACTACGCTACAACCAATGAAGTGGAGAGGAGTAGAATGATAACTGTCAATGAAAAAGTCTAGACACTATGCACAATTTCGTTTTGCACATTTTGTAAACAAGATTCAGGGACGGTTTAACAACATTTTGTGTAACAATTATAAAGTAGTGCATCGGAAAATAATTAACAAGTATAATTTAATACTAAATTGAAATAAAAGCACAAAACATCACAAATATACGCTAGATAACAAAGAATTGACGCCAAAGAAGCTTACAAAACAAACAAAAAACAGAGCTGAACATGAAAATTATCGCTGAACAAAGCCAATCCTGGAATTTGTTTACAGTGCTTTAGGGCAACCTCTCCTTGTCATTTACATGTATAAGAGTGGAAGGTTGAATCACGCATAATTTCTACACTCGTGATGGATGAGCAGACGGTACCTTATCGTTCTACCCTCTCTACTTCTTTGGCTACAACGGGACAAAACATCTTTACTGACTGAGTACTGAGTACACACACACGCATGGACACCGAGCATGAGCATTGAAGAGTACCCACCTGATATGAAGGCCAAAGAGTGTATACCGATTCCGACTGGATATATTGCCAAAGAGTGCGATCCAAGTTTGAGCTTTTGGCACTGTCCCAGTAATAATAAATTTAATAAATATAATCAATTCGTGTACAATCCTAACAAATTTATGAATATATTCTGGGCGACATGGACGATCAATAACTATGCGTTGACGGACTGACAGACACACTATTTAAATGCTGGACTGTTCGTCATAATGACGGACGGTTGGTAACCCTGTATTTGACCCCCAGTTTTAAGCCAAAAATTAACATTTTCCACTATAGACTTTGCAGGTAAAATATAACCTTTTCTTTGTGAATCACCCTGTATGGGTAAACAATAATGTAAACTGCCAAATCCGACTTTGAACTGTTTATATTTTACAATTTATGTGGATATTTAAATATCAATTCAGTTGTTTTTGAGGTGCAACTGATCCTATTTATTTAAAAAATAGTCAATCAAAATTATAGTTATTTACATACCTTCAGGGATTACATTATTTTCATCACTTTCAAAGGACATTCAAAAACTATTTTTTTATAAACCAAAAATCCAAACAGTAGTGTGAATACAACACTGGTTAAACAAACATTGTCAATCTGTGCTCAGTTAACACGATGATGACACATAGAAGCATGTCGAATAACCAATTAGAACATAAGTTAAACAAAATCACAGAATTACTATTGGATATCCCAGTCCATGTGCACGAACATTTTTTACGGGCTATCGTGGGCTACAGCAAATAGAAATTTGAGAAAGGCTCGATTCAACCAATAGGAGACGCTAAAATTAAGGTTTTATAATTAATCGAGCCGACAGATTCTTATCGTACAGCGATGCCAGGCATAAAATATTTATTTAATACTAGCTTCCATCATATTTGCTCGAAGGGTACTGTGCGCTAAACGTACACTGTCGTTCAGCTGCAATAGAATTGAACGCATCACTTTATTTTTGCAGATTGACAACTGTGTTTTCTAAGTTGAACATCGGCGGTGTCTTTATGAATTATATATAGATATACTAGTAATACTGATATTTAATTGTGAAATAGTAAAATTTATCTGTGCCGTCTACTATACTAATACAAAATTCCGAATTAATTAAAATACATACGATACGGGTATGAATTAATAAGGTCTGCCATCTGTCAAAAGAAAATTTTTATTACAGTAAAAACCATGGAAACATGATTAACTCAAAACGAAAACTTTTATTAGGCCGATCAGATGTATTAATTACAAATAAGTACAGAAGGATAAGGTATAAATAAAATGTATACCTCTTGAATCTATACTACGTTCTGCAAATTAAATTACTGCACTCCTTTCTTCTCCAGACTATAACCCCAGTGTTCCACATAACCTAGCAACGAAGAAACCTTTTTTTTTAAACACCTTGTATAATATGAGAGACGTTTCATAATTTTATTTATATTTTTTTAGATCTTATCGAGACTTTAAACCAACATCTCTACTAACAGCTCAGTTAGATAAGTTAACTTCAGACAAAAATTCTGTTAAAATACCTATATCGAACAATGATAAACAACAGTTTAATATTCACGTGACCATTTTAAGTATGGGAACTGCAAGAATAAAAATCTTGGAAAATAAAAGTACTCGATATGAATTGGCCGACGTTTTAGACAAGGAACCTACAAAGTTAGAGTAAGTATCCATGTATTACTAGGTACCACCAGGACATCTATTCTTGAATGACATGTTCGTCTTCCTTATAAGAATAAATGTTTCTATCAGTAATCCTATGGGAAGGCCGAGCGACAGCTCGAGAATACGGACCCAGTTGGACTTCAACTATTTTGGTAATCTCTTTTTGTTTGAAGAAAAATAAAATAGATAACACGAATAATCTTTGACAGAGGTAAAATTAAACAAGCCTGGATGACATTAGTTTTATGGCTCCTATACACGATCGGCCATCATGAGCGATCACAACTAAGTGAGTACCTATCAGTGTTGCCAACCTTGAAGTAAGAATTTTCCCCCTAATTAACTTAAAAATTTCCACTTTTATGAAAAAAATCCTCCTGTTTAGGGATGCCACCTTTTCATTCCTCAAAACACAGACCTTTGTTTTTTAAAAAAGTCAGCTTGTTAAAAAAAAAGGTCCAAGGTCCTCAGTCTGTATTGTTAATAAAGTCTTTTCTAAAAGTTATCCAAGTATTCCCGGGTATTTACAATTTGAACTGGATTAAAAATTCCCTTTTTTGAGTTAACTTTTCCCTTTTGTGTTAAAAATGCCCGCAAAATGGGAAATTTCCCTCCCATTTAGTAACACTGGTACCTATCATCGTATGGAGGGCCTATTTGTCGGTGTCGGCCATGATTGATAGTGATCATCGATAATCGAGGAGTTGGCGGGTTTTCACACACGGATCCAAGGAAATCTTTTAGTTACTTTTGTGTGTCCACACGATCGACAATCAGGGTGAATAATTGATTTGGAACCCTAAATTTTATAATTACAATATGATTTCGATGAACAGTTAGAATCCACCATCTTTTCTACTTTTATTTTTTTCATAACCTAATTTTGTTATGAACGTTATGTATGTGATGATTATATGCACAAATCATCATCGAGTTCCAGCTTGAACAATGTCCACAAAGTAAATGAACACTGACGATTGTGTGGATGACATGCAATGATGAGATCGATGAATGATCCATTATATAATGGCCCATCATGGCCGATTGCGTATAGGAACCTTTACATTTTAATTTGGTTTATTAGATTTTTTCTTAACAACTGATTTAATAAATTTAAAAACTATTTTCTTGTTTTAAGTCAAGTTATATCACTTTTTATTAATTCAACAGGGGTTGTCAGGTGTAGAACAATTAAGTTTATAAGTCTAACTTTTTTTATTTTCATTTTCATTTTCCAAATAAATAAAATACTGTTTTTCTTTTAGTATAACTATAGATAAATCTGTAAAAGGTTCAGTAACCATCCAGGCAGTTAATCTCAGTTCAAGCAATTCGCATAAAGTTGTAATACGAGCAGACCCGTTGAAAATAGAATTTTTTAACGATGACCTTACATTAGTGTCAGTTATAAACGGTGATCAGTTTATTTTTGATAAAGTAAGTATATTAAGTCACGTGGACTACATTTTTTTATAGATTAACATTCACGAAGGTACAATGCAATAGTATAATAAATTACGAGTGTGGAAAGTGACAATCACACGAGTGTAAAAATCATTTTTACACAAGTGATGTACAATATTTTTCCATAAATTATTTTTATCAAAAAATTGATAAACCAGGAAATCTGGCTATGAAGGTTCAATCAAAATGTGGCTGGATTTCGATTTGTTTTTTATATGTCTTAAAAAATATTTTTTAAAATTTACCAATTGTATTTTGTCGAAATTAAAAATGTGATTTCATTTACAAACTCTTTCATAGGAAAATAACGGTAAAATAACATTAGCTATAAAAATATTAGAATACAATAATGTTTTTCATTAGTTCTGTTTTTAAATACAACAAATAATAAGATAAACAACCGTGAACAAGAACTTTTTTTCATTTAAAGTTGATTACCTACTTGACTACTTACAATTTTTTTCTGAACATTAATCAAAATATTATAAAATAAATTGCAAAAAGATTAACTGTAGTGGTTATATTAAGATAAATAAAAAGTAACTATTTAAAATAAATAAAAAGCAATAGTCGTATTTTTTCAATTTTCATATTTTTCCAAAATAAAAAAGAAAGATTTCCATCGGTGGGGATTGAACCCGCGTCGCGATGTGGTCGAAACATGTAAAGTAAATGAAGTTGAAAGCTCTACAAACTGAGCTAACAAGCTTATATCACGTAAATTATCTAATCAAATATTTATATTAGGTAATAAAAAAAACCTAAAAATAATGTAGATATTTTAAAATTATTTTAATAATTTGTTAAAAATAAATAATATCTAGAATCTAGGTATAAAAATCAATATTCACGATTTAATCATCAACTCTATTTTACTATTAATATGGACATTACATAGATCAAAAAGGAAATTACGCGTTTGACATATTTGACAGCTGATTCGGAAAGTAGATATTCACACACGGGTGGAAAGTAGATTCTTATCCACACGCGTGTGATTAGGGCACGTCCCGTAAGACTAAATAGTGCGATATGTGTCACTTTCGTAAGTGGTCGTAGGAAAAATTATTTTCTGTGGAAAAGCTATATGAGTGTGAGTTTAGTTGAAGAGAAAAAACTTCCGAGGACACATTTAATTTAGAAATATTAGTTTTCTCCATATTCCAGGTTTATGATTGATAGATAACATGGGTTATTTATAAATAGAAGTAAAAACCTGATATTCAAGTAATGTACCTGTTAAAATTACATCACTTTTCTATCATAGCTCTCTTAAGTTAAGATACTTAGCATCCTGTCATGCTTACAATTTAGATTTACCGGTTGGAAGGTTTTATTTCACGAGATTTCATATCCTCGGATGTAGTACCCATTTAGTGTTTTTTATTATTCCGTTTACATTCTTTTAACTTATGGATAATTATTTTAATATACGCACTAACTGGGCATGTTTTTTAACATATCTGATCCCACCCTATATTGGAGATAAAGGATGAACCATATTTAAATTCTCGCTGGGTTGACTTATTAGGAGTATTTTTCTTTTTGCCATAAAAAGACAATGGAAATTGAATACACGCTGGTTAAAAAATAGTAAAAACATTTATTCACTATTTACATTTAATACGTAATATGAATAAAATTTACAGCTTCGTCTTTCGATTTAATTAGAGAAAATTTTGTTTCCCATTTAAAATATGAGAATGCCGGCTTTGAGCAATGGATTGGTCGTGATGATTGTTGTAAGAATCTAGAACAAGTAATGCATAAAACGCTACACACCTTACTTGAGCCCAAGTCGGGTAGGTTCCCATCCTGTTTTACTGGATCGAAACCCTCCTGACACCACCAACCCCCCTGACAACTTCACTCAGGGGGCCTCAAGTTCAATCCATCCGATATTATCATCATTTAGACAGGGTTTGCTGAGGGCATTTTCCTGTTTCGTCGTCCATTTGTTTGTCTTGTGTGTGCTCATTATGTGAGAGTTCGCCACCTGTGAAAGCTCTCCCAGTCTCCATTGGCGACTAGGAGGACCTTCTCCCCCAGGTGGGTTGTCGTCTGTTGCTCAGTCTTTGTCTGAATCGCGTGTTGTATTCTTGTAACGTATTCTGAAAGAGAATGCTGAAAAAGAATGCTGAAAGAGAAATCTTATGATCTATGAGCGTCTTGAATTTTTACACCTTCCGTGGTTCGGTCACTCGCCGCCATAATCCAGCACTTTGCGTGGTCTGGCGTGTCTCCTGTAATCCGCTCTCTCATACTCTGTTAGTTCTCGTAATTCAATATTGGGGTGCGTCGTTTTTCGAAGGTGTCCGTGGCCTTCTTGTGAATGAGGTCTAGGACCCTCTTGGATTTTAGATCCTTTATGATTATGTCATTTCTGGTATACCGGCATAAAACGTTAGAGTGTCTCACTTATTTATTAGCTTCAGTAGCATGACTCTCTAAGTTTGAATTCTATTGGTTGGACTTCGTGTTGCATTCATAGACATCATATTATCTAAGATAGACTCGCCCTACACACTGTATACCCAATACACCTTCTGTCTGCATGTTTTACCAGACGGGGAAAGGGGAATCGTACGTCGCACACTGACGTAGTGTTTCGGGAGGGTTTACATATATTTTTAGTAAAAATTATTTAATGTTCAAATCAATAACCTATGGGTCTTCGGAATCAAAGGTAAATTTAAAGAAAACATATTCAATTTATAAAGGGCATTCAAAAAGTCATTTTATATATTTTCTTATAGATTAAAATAGTAGGTAGCTCAAAGTGGAAGAACATTTTTGTTAGTATTTTATTATATATTTTTTTTTAAATACATGAAGAGCAAAGAGCAAGTAAAAATATAAAGCCATTTATTATTTTTTTTACATGGGTACTGTTTGAAAACCTTTTCTACAGGTCGAAAAAAGAATAATTATATTGCCGGACTACCTTACCCTACAAATAAAAAGTTATTAAAAACAGAACAATTTTATTTCAGATACATAAATATACAAATATGATCTTTCTATTACATACCATTTGGGTTGCATGTCACGACACCTATTTTTAGAATTATTTGTGTAATGATATAACTCATTTAGGACAGTAATCAGCAATGATTTTATAATATCTGGACAAGGCTAAAACACATTAGCTTAAGATTATCAAGAGATACTTTATTTCTAATTTGTCCGAATAGAAAAAAACACTAAAGGAAGCTTCTTTTGTGACATTTAGAATGTCATTTTACTATCAATGGTTACTCCTACAAACACTCTTAGTGAAGAATCTGCTCAATAGATTTATTTAGTGTTATAAGATAACTGATATTTTGTAAAGAAAATTTTGGAATAAAAGACAAAATAGCTATTTGTGTATTAAGAACAGAAAGTAGCACCTTTGACAGTTGAGACAGAAAGTCTGTCGAAGAGAAAATATTTATTTTATATTTATTCAAAAAGGAGGAAAAATACAATATCAAAACTGTTATCTCAGTTATGTAATCATCATTTTCAGTATTTGTGTTTTTCCAACTGACCATAGCAACTGACCATTATTTTGTTATTGAAATGAAAAACCGTACAAGTCGCAGATATGTACGGTTATTCACCTAATTTCACGGGTATAATCAGCTGTACTACATTAACAGCTAGGTATCTAGTACGGTTTTTAAGCTCAATCGATGAAAAAACAAATTTTAAACGAAATGGCTTATTTTGAAATGTCAAATTTGAGACTTGTACGGTTTTCGAACTCACTGTTTCAATTGCAGAATACTGTTTGCAGTGAATCTTTTTTTTTAAGGATTTTACTATAAAACCAGAAATATAAGCAACTACATCCTGAATGTATTAGCTCAGAAAATATATAGATAGGTAATCATGGTCACGAAGCTCATTTGTAAATTCCAAATTTTCTTTAGTGTCTGATTCGTAACATTTTAAATTTAACGCAATTGGCTACTAGTGTTGCTACAATCCAAGATGCTGGTGCCATCTAAAGCAATTGCATTGGCAGTTTTATTTGACTTTGCTTCATTATGAATTAATAATTTTTTATAACAATTTTGAAACAATCTCCATGTGAGATTGTTATTGAAGCATCTGTTACGAACTGCACTAAAAAAAAGTATTTTTTTTCTTCATTTTTGGCCTCTTCAACTACCTCTCCCAAAATTCTGTAAAATGTGATGATTACTGTATAATTTTAGAGCTTACATATAATAAAAATACCCATAATAAATACTGTACTTACTATGTTTTAAGATGTGTCTACCACTTAAATTTTCATAAATATCTGCCATACAAAAAATGTTCAGAACATATACTAAGGCTTCTTTCATTTTCATAATGTTTTCCTCCACCAAGCATAGATTTTGCTACGTTGAATAATTTCTCTAGGAAACCTGATCAGAAAATATAGAACATTATTATTTAAATAAACAATGCTAGTGCTAAATGCCTTTACACTGTTAAATAAATTAAGCCTTATTCCCTGTATATGCCTACGTCTATGCTAACATAATCTTATTTATGAAATGACCAAATAACATTCTTATTCTGCGTATTTCGGCACACTATACATTTCCTCCCCATCGTAAAAGTCCTTAATAAAAAGTTCAGGGTTTAAATTATTCTTGAAAACTACAAAAAACCACAAAAATCACAATAAAACTTGATCTGTCACTTTGACAACATCAGCAAAATGTCTTAGGTTGCCAAAGTTAAATGATTTATACCAAAATGTTTAATATTCCCATATGATACGCATGTAAAAATAGCTACTTAAAAGTCTTAAGTGATTGCAATTAATAAAAAACTCATATTGATGCTTTCAATTCTTTATTTCCTTTTTTTATTAGATTGTATTAAAGGTAATAGTAACTTTTTAAATAAAAAGTTAATGCTTGATATTTGATGAAAGAGATCTGACAACATAGGAAGAGCGTACCGTCAAAAAAAAGTTGCGGACAAGTGTAATGTATACAAGGCGTATCTATTATCCGATATCTTTGGTTGCATTTTAACCATCCAACGAACCCTGCGTGAGTAAGATAAGATACGTTGTGTTAAGGGAGATAAAAGATATCACAATTTTTCTTATGCCTGTGTTAGGTCACGTTGCGTTAACTTGTATATTTACATATATATTTTATTACTATCCCTAGCGTGATGAAAATTAAAAACTGCTTTAAAATATTTTAATTTAAAAAATTATTCAAATAGTAAAACTGTTTGCAGGATAGCCAATCATTCGCCTTTAACGTAGAATTTACTGATGCGATTAAACTGTATGGGCTTCACCATCACACTGTAAATTTAGAACTACCAGATACTAAAGCAAACAACATGGATCCTTTGAGACTTAGAAATTCTGATCTTGCCTACTACGAAGTAGGATCTCCAATGGCTATGTATGGATCTGTCCCAGTGGTATACGGACATACGTAAGTACTTTTTTAAATGAAGTTTTTTATTTATTTATTTAAACAGTTTATTGTTTAGTTTACTTTCACTAAGAAACCAATTTATTTTATAGCTCAATTTATGTGTATTAAATAAAACACTTATTTATATTTCTTTTACTGATACACTAATTGACAATATTTATTTGAACAGAACGATATCTTAACTAGAATTTCACTTAAACGACACAAGTTAGTCTATTTATTGATATGGAAACCTTTTGGGATATAGAATCTACATTCAAAATTTTAATCTCATATCGGGGTGGTTTAATGATCTAAAATATTAGGTATAATGAATTTACTTTTGAAGTGATAAAATGATTAAAAATGTTCTTGTCTTCTGTACTGCGTTGCAACTTCTCTGACTTGCCGTATCTGCCCTGTTTCCTCACTAATTGCTCCGTTGGATATCTCTCCTGTGATTCACACCTGTTTTGTGTTCTACTCTGGCTTCTATTACTCTATCTCTACGTCTCTGATAATCCACAATCTCAAAAACAAAACAATATTTTCCCTGATTATTATAATTTTAATACCACACCGATATCGCTGTTGATATAAGGTTTGTTCCAACAACAATCTTGGAACCATACATAAACCAGTCCACAACTTATTGTCAGCGACTGATAGTCGACGACCTGTCGAGGATTGGGACTGAATTTAAAACTTGGTTGTGTTGGAACACATTTTTCTGTTATCAGGTACACCTTGTTAATAACGTCAATGTCAAAACAAATTTAACAAATGTAAAATTTTTAATTTGAGAACTAAAAAATTATAAAACTCATTAAATAATTTAAAAATTTTGATTATTCGAATGGTTAGTACATTAAACTTTTTTTAATTTTTTACTATATTTAAGTAAAACTAATAGTTCTTTTTACTTTACTCATTACTCATCATTAATAAGTCAACAGATACACGTATAAAATAATAGACTATAAATAATGATAATGAGTGTAAACCAAATGACGATCGATAATAGTCTATTGGATCGAGACTACGATCGATACTATCAAAACCATGGAGGTATTCAACTTCATTGATCAAAACAAATATAATAACGAAATTTTCAGAGTTGGTCGTGGTTTATTTACGAGCTCACTTTCGTTTTGCGCATGTCTTGACAATTCGTTACTATTCAGACCCAGTACAGTACAGAAACTGGTTTGTCATTAAGTTTGGGTATGTTGGAACCTTAGACTAGGTTGGAACACTAGGTTTTTGTACAGTTTTGAGTCCGAGGTTTGATGGAACACCAAATCTAGACTGCGCAAAATCCCGACAGTACGTAAACCAAATTTTTTTCTGACGTAATCATTTACCCTTCAGAAATGTCCATATTGTTATATACCACATACTTTGATTTTCTTTTACTATACGGAGAATGGTCGCACTGCGCAGCTTTCTGAGTGCCTTTTAAAAGGAGATAGAAAACTACGCCATTTTGAACCCTAATTACGTGTTGCCTACATCTTGGCGCAATATTTTTAATAGGTGCGTTTTAATCATCCGCTTCTGCTTCGGAATTGTCGGTTTTCTTGTTTTAATCTGACAGGTTAAAACGACTAAACCGACAATTTCGGAAGCAGAGGCGGATGATTAAAACGCACCTGATATTTTGCTTGCTGCTGTCAGTGTCAGTGAATATTATTTTTGAAGTCACAGTTTATTGCTAAAGAATCAGTTAGCTGACTCGGACCAGTTGAAAGTTCCAAAATAACATCCACTCCAGGGATACAAATTCAGGATACGCAGAAGACTGCTGTTTTATTATAGGCGGTTGTCATATATTGTATTATCCGAGTTGCACAGTGTATAAACTGAAACATTGAGATCAAAAGTGCCGACGCAGAATGAGCGATCTGATTCTTTAGCTGTAAACTGTGTCACAGGGTTCAAAATGGCCACGCCCTACGTTGGGCGTGTCGGACCTCTCTCTTGCCTCGTATAGTATTCCAAGTATGTGTTATATACATATGTAGCGCTCCAGACTTGCTCTCGAACATTCCGGATGCCTTTCGACTAAAAATCGATACTTCGGGTATCGGCACCTTCACAAGAATTATTGTTCCTAGATGGTTCAACAACATTCATTGACGGGTCGATAGATATTCTAGAATGGACGGTTCATTTCAAGTGATAACGAACACGGGAGTCTCAGGGGTTTCGAAGATTTTCCCATAGTGTCCAATAATAATTTAGCAACAACGTGGATAACACTGCAAAAGTTTGCAATTCGATTGTTGTAAACATAATTGGTCTAGAAGTTGTACGTCGTTGAAGAGTACTAAGCAATATTTTAGTTTATTTATGTGATATATTTTTGAGAAATTGTATTATTTTTGAAATAATGAACATCTTGAGGGGCAATATCATCTATATTAAAATTGGAAAATCAAATGAAAGAAAACAAGAACAGTTTTTTTTACAAAAAAATATGTTTTCTAAAATATACGTATACTTGTGTTAAGTATGTGATCTAAAATATATATTGTGCCCTTTTTGTCGTAAACGCAGCAATTGAAAAGTATCGATGCCTATAACGACTCTTCCAATCCTATTTTCTCGTGAAAAGGTAGGATTTGCAGTGGCTCCAAGTTAGGTAGAATCGCTCTCTTCTATTTGGTATGCTCCTAAAGGATTCTGGAGTGCTACACAGAAAGTGAATGGAGGTTCAGCCCGTCACAGAATCTATTCTAGTAGTCTTAGTTTAGTAAGGTATCTTTTGAGTTGTTAATTGCCGGTAAGGATACCTGTTACAATGCGTAGCCTGTTCTTGCTCAGGCAGATATAGGATCCCTGTTAATATTGTTTTACTGCCGATACCGCAAATCGGCTCAGGTCCCACAAAGGGTGTTTGAGCTCCTTTCCTTACGAAATCATCTGCAATTTCGTTACCCTTTACCCCGTTATGTCCCGGGATCCAAGCGAAAGAAACTGTATTTGCATCGCCTAGCTTATTCAGTTTTTTCTATGCCTCTTTATACCATTTTTGAGCTGATTACGTAAGGTCTTAGGCATAGGCCTTTTCATCAAGTGATGAGCGCAAGCGCAGCCGCCATGTTGAAATAGCGCCAATTCAATAGTTTCGTACTGTTTTGATCAACAATGGCTGGAAAAGCAATATTATCTCTACATACAAATCAATCATTAGAAAAAATCGTTGATGGTGATTTACATTTTTATAACTCTGTGGAAGCACATGATTTTGAGCAATTAAAAAGGTTCTTGAAGTGATGTGGACGTTCAAAAGTAGGAAAAAAAGTGTGATTGAGAGGTTAGGTTTCAATATTAACTGTGTAAATTAATGAAAACAAATAATAATTATAACTCTATTCTAATTAATTATGCCAACCAACTATTAATAATCGCAAAAACATTTTAACATGAAAGTTAATCACCGAGTATATTTAATAAGATACATTATTTAAAATTTTAAGGATCAACATGACATTTTTAATAATATTACTGTGTATACCGAAGTAGTATTTAATATTAAAAATATTGTGTAACACCAGACAAGGATTTTCTTCTGTTGAACCACTTTCTCCATGAAAATGTAGTAAACAAATATAAGTATCTTTAGTACCTAACATCATCCATCAATCGATCGAAAACCTTTGTCACTTCGACCACATTTTTTCACCCATGATGCTCATTTTGAACATGTTTTAATATGTATTTTGCCTAATTTGTTAGTTTTTTATGATATTGCAGGCAAGTCTTTTTATAAAATATATATTTATACCATATGTCACTTTTACATACTCATAACAATACCGTTTAGTTTTTCCTTTCCGTAATGATAACATAATTAATTGATTGAAAAAATTGATTTTTCAATTAATACACTTATTGCTTTACTTTTTTATCCCATTTTTTTAAACTTAAAATTAATATTTATCGATTATAATTTTTTTCCCGTGGACATTTTAACATGCTTGTTTACAAAAAACAGTACGAAAAAGAGGGCTAAGACTGACGCATGCCCACAAACAAAATGGCTTATTGATGGCTGCTTGGCTATCGGACATGATGATAATCTCTTGTCTGTGGTAGTTACTCTCGATGTTGAACTGGATTCACTTTTCAATGGAAGATGCTTGGGTATTTATTTACTCAATCTTTCAAGGTACACACTCCATCCATACACAGAATTGGTAGCAAACACTAGTATTGATTATTGGTTTCATTATTTCTTGCAGCCTTTGGTTTTAAAGTTTTTCACAGAAGTGTACTTACTTCTTTTTCATTTTGTCCTGGGCATATTCCAAGTATTTTCAGTTCTGGAGCAAATAGACTTTCGTCTGATTATTCCATTCCTAATCATTCCATATATTGACCTTTTTTCCACGTTTTCTACCATTAAATGTGGAGGGGTGAGGTTTAAGATAACCTCCATTATGGGCGTATGACAGATTCTTATTGAACCGGTGATAAAAACACAGGTTAATCTTTGTACTTTGGGATATTAGCACTTTTAGTAGTTAAACTAGTTCTGATACTCCAGGTTACCACCCTGTAAGGGATAATTTGTCTCATTATTGCTCATACAATGCTCATACAACGCAGAGTGTTTGATTTACATCCTCATTTTTTTTACGCATACCATTAGGGCTTATGTTGCCTTATGTACTACAGGGAAGTTTGTTATCTAGGAATTGACCTAAATATGTGACTTCTTATTTATATAAATTGCATGTAGCAATTCTCCATAAAAACCTCAAGCTACACGTCATCTTCAACTAGATCTGTCATATCAACGTCTGTTTCTTCAGTCCCAGCTTTACTGTCAACTTTCTTCCGTTTTGATTTTTTCTCAACTTTTTTCGGATTAACATTATTTTTTCTTGAAGATATCGTCAGTGCTTTTTTTTCTAAAAATTTGCTTTTTAAAGTGGTACGTGTTAAAGTTTTGTATATAAGAACTGTTAAATATTAGTGTACTTGGGACTTCTAGGTTCCAGGTCTACTACTGCTACCGGACAGAGTCAGTCGTATCTTCGAGTGCCAAAAGTGGGAAGCAGAACTAATAGAGAGATCGTTTGGCAATTTCCAAATAATTTATATTTTCTTTGTTTTCGAATAAATAACCGACAGTTTTTTGGAACTTTAAATATTGAAATCCCTAGGTATTTGCAGACATTTTCTATTTTTATGTACTTATTTGATTTTTAGATCGGATTAAAGGTAACTTGTATATAAATTTATTTTAGAGGCATAATTACATCCGGGATATTTTTGCATAATGCCGCCGAACAGTGGATAGACGTTTCTTACGATGCTTCATCTGCTTCAGTAAGGTTTATGGTAGAAAGTGCTGCTTTGGATCTCTTCGTATTTACTGGTAACACGACCAAAGATGTCGTAAGACAGTTCGTAGAGATTACCGGTAGAGCTCACATGCCACAGGTAAAAAACACTATCAATCTTTAAATTGAGCTTTAAAGAAACGTGACAGTGGTGTTTAAACATATTTTTAGTTATGGACGCTGGGTTATCATCAATGTCGCTGGTCATATTACACGCAAGATGACGCCAAAGAAGTGGTGGCCCAAATGGACGTTCATGATTTTCCCATGGACGCCCTCTGGCTGGATATTGATTACACTGATGGATACAGATATTTCACATGGAACCCGAAGAATTTTTCCGATCCAATAGAATTTCAGGCAAATCTTTCTTCTACGAATAGAAAACTGGTGACAATATTGGACCCCCATATCAAAATCGACGAAAACTATCCTGTGTATGCGAATGCGAAGGGAAAGTATTTTGTTAAATGGGAGAATGGTAGCGATTTTGAAGGTAGGAGATATAACCTCTAAATAAATTTTTTTCTCCAAAAAAATTGAATAAAATAAAATAATTTTTTCTACACCCTCATGGATATTAGCTTATCTACGCATAGACTAGAAAACGAAAAAGTATGCTATTCCGTTCAACTGATCAAATATATTTTATATCCATTCTAGGTAGTGAGAACCACTGAACTCTATACAGTTACAGTTCAGTGGTGAGAACAATACAAAAAATGAAATCCACCAATCACAGTTCATATTGTTACTATAAAAATGCAATTATTTATCCATTCTACACAAAAATAGCTCATTTATTAATGACAATAACTAAAAAATACACTGACAATTAGTTTGACAGAATTTTCACTTAGGTATTTAAAATTTCAAAAATGTTTTAAAAAAGTGACAATTCTGTCAAACTAATTGTCAGTATATTTTTTTGTTATTGCGATTAAATATTAAAATTAGCTATTTTTGTGTAAAATGGATAAATAATAGCAACTGCACAAATTACTATTGTAAATTTTATTGAAATCTTATGTATTTTAGAGTAAGATATAAATATGAAAATTAGTTTTTACAGGAAATGACGAATGCTAAGATTATATTTCACACTTATATTTATACAGGGTTGGTTAGGAAAATGAATTAAATTTAGATACTTTTATTAAAAAAAGCTCTGTTAAATTAAGAATAAGGTAACTTTTATTGGGAATAGAAGAACAATTTATATTTTTATTCTGATATACGTTACACCACAAAATATTTTTAAGATCGCTTTTATATTCATGAAATAAAAAAAAATAAAATACAATATAAACAATAGTATATTATGCAACGATCATGTAATGATGGTTATTAATACACGAGCATTAACCGGGATACGAAACGAGCCAAAGGCGAGTTTCGTATAGTTTATGCGAGTGTTTTAATAACCATTACATGAGAGTTGCATACGCTATTTTTTCTACACCCGATAAATAATCAAGACCTATAAATATTCTATTTATATTGGCATTGAACACAATAACAGTAATTACTCGTATTTCTATAAAAAATTCTACAAAATTGTAATTAATGGTATTAACTTGGGTATTGGTATTACCACAGATTTTTGGGGCAAAATATTTTGTACTGCATTTTCTCCTTTCTCCGATATGTGTGGAGGAGTCTTCTATATCGCTGATATCAGACATTTTAATATTATAATTATCGAAGTTTAGCTATCTACGAAAATTTAATACGTTTTGACAACTAAAACAATTACATAGGAATTTAGGACAAACGTCAAACATCATGCTTGATTGAAAAATTGTAGGTTTCTATTGATTAAAAATCTGTATCATAATGAAAAATCTGTATCATAATGGGTATCATTATGAAACGGATTATGGGCATATAAGTGCATTATTATAATACGGGTGTAGAAAAAACATTTTATGAATGAATACTAAGTACAAAGCAATGTTGGATTGAAACAATACTGGATAAAACATGATTTGAATATTTGTATCGTACTTATATGGTATGAAAATCGTGGTTTTGTTACGTTTAGAATACGAGTACCTATAGTTGAATACCGAAATAATAGGACAGTAACTTAATGCCAAGAATGTGTGAAGAATGCTGATAGAGACGCCATATATGCCCACCACTGAAAAAAAACCCTGTTATCTCCAAAAATTCTCCAAACTTTGGCGCAATGATATATGACAGCATTCTTCGCACATTAATACATTGCATACCACACCGCTAATATGAGATACATTAACATTTCGCAAAGGGCCACGTCGCTCATTATTAAGAGATGCACATTTCTCACTATCTGGCCATGTATATCAAATATGAAATCAGCTATACTCGGACAAAATATTGAAGAAGGTGATTCCTTCATGTTCACGTACAACAATAATACTATACCAGAGCATAATGAATGGAATCACGCGCTTAAAACTGCAGAAGTTATTGGTATCACGTGCCAACTAGTCATAAATACATTTTTATTGCCAAAATGAATTACGCCAGTGGCGTATAAAAACTATTGGCAAATTAAATGCGGTAATAGTAAATAATATTATATGAAAGTAGGTTGGTTATCTATTTTTGTAGTAATATTCATTTATGTTTATAATTTTGTTTTGTTTATTGTTAAAATATGTAAAATTATGCCAGTGGCGTAGAAATACTATTGGAAAATTAAATGGGGTATTATACTAGAACAAAATATTGAAGAAGGTGCGACTTAAAACTGCAAAAGGTATCGTTATCATATCAAAATGCACTCTTCCAGTGTCGCAGAAATACTATATTGGCAAATTAAATGGGTATTTGTGAATATTACTAGATGAAAGTCAGTTGGTTATCTATTTTTGTTATAATAATTCATCTATGTTTATAATTGTATTTTGTTTATTATAAAAATATGTAAATTAAGCTTGGTATCACTTACTTGAATTCTAAATCTATGAAGGTTCGTAATCCATTGATTCTGCAGAACTATCACTGAAATCGTCTTTATCGTCGGAACTTATGTTATGACTAAAGGTTCAACTACCGTTTCGATCATACCGTCCAAGCGGCACATATTATTTTCTTCCTTAATTACATGGGGAATAGCATTCTGCCAATCTTCAGGTTTTATACGTTCTATACCGATTTTTAATAAACTTTGAACTTGTCGTTGCCCTCTCGCTGACTTTACAATGTATATTTTAAGTGTCCATGTGTAATCATTAATTAAACATAGTTTAAATAATTTGATAACATAATTTGGGCATTGTTTGGTATATATTGCCAAAAAATTGGTATTAAAGTTTAGTCTATTACGATGGATAAAATAGAGACTGAAATTTATTTTAAAGAATATCAATAAGAGGTTTAATTTTTGGTAAACGTTCTCCTCTTTGAATTGTCTCGTTATTGTTGAAAAGCAAAACACTTAGCAGTAACTGATATCTGTTTCGCCAAAAACCTCTAGACGATAAATACCCTTGGTCGCCCAATAATCGGCTAATGCACTTAGTTGTACCAATCCCGTCAACAGTGTCAAACCCAACAACTTTTTTATTTCTGCTGGATTCTCCAGTTTCCATTTTTTATGCAGGAATATTTTTGTGCTTTCTTCTGTTGGTTTCAGTGATAATAAGGTCTACGACCCCATCATCTACGAGTTGGAAAAATGCCTGTAGGGAAGTCATTTTGGGGAAAAAACTTGTTGCAGACCACTATAGGACCCTTAAACTGGAAGTTCTTGTGCTGTACAACTTATTCGTTTCAATCAGTGGATGCTGGTATATCTTCGTTTCCTTAATTTTGGTCATTATCTTTAGTCTAAATCTCTTCCATGGCCAAATCTTGAAAAATATCTTCAATATTTTGGGCTTCTTCTTCATCCTCTTCATCAAATGACTCAAATCGATGCAGGGTCAAGGACAAAATTCGGATTTTTGGTAGAGTCATCGGATTGAAAGTCCACTATCGTTATCAAGATCGATTTGATATGCTGCTTCCTCCAAATCGGCCTGTGCAAATCATTGACAACGTTTATACATTTTTTCTTATTCAACCGTTGATTTTTCAATCTTCAAACGTGCCCAAACAAGCGTCGATCATATTATTTGTAATACGTGGCCAGCAGCTTAAATATCACGCGTTTCTTTTTGCATGGCCGGGTTGCTTATATATAAGACAAAAATACTACAACAAAATAACTAAAAACTACAAGAAAAACACAAAAGTGCCATAAAAACCTTTATTTTAGTTAATATATCCAAATATTACAAACATGTAGTTACTGTTTATTATTTCGGTATTCAATTATAGTCGTTTTTCTGAGAGTCTTGAACCATTTTTCTATGTCTTGAACCATACCACCTGTACAATGTATCTATTACTATTTCAATTTAATTAGCTTAGAAATTAGCATTTTTAATGATTTCAGGAAGCTGTTGGCCTGGTGTATCCAGTTATTTGGACTTTTTGAATCCAGACGCCAGAGATTATTATGCCAGTTGGTACTCTTACAAAAATTTCAAAAATAGCACGCCTACCTTATCGGGAGTATGGAACGACATGAATGAACCATCAGTATTTGATAAAACAACTGAAAATACTATGCCGTTTGAAGCTGTCCATTATGGAAACGTCAAACATAGAGATATTCATAATATATACGGTTTCCTACAGGTAAAATTTACTTTTATTTTTTTCAGTCCACAGGTTGATATATTTTTTGTAGACCAAAGCAACTCATCAAGGACTGATGCAACGTGACAATGGCACCAGAAGACCTTTCGTACTGACCAGGTCACATTTCGCGGGATCTCAGCGGTACGCGGCCATGTGGACAGGTGACAACACAGCAGATTGGCCGTACTTGCGCGTCAGTTACTCAGAATGCATGTTGTCTAACCTGGTAGGACTAGTTTTTTGCGGTGCTGACATTGGGGGATTTTTCAATGATCCAGAAGTTGAATTGGTCCAGAGGTGGTACCAGGTAAGTTTTAAATTGGAACGCACATTTGTGTTGGCTAAACCAAGTTATTATCACAGAGCTAATATAATAAATAGAATAAACTTGGAAAGAAGTCAGATTTTTTGCTGGTAAATAAAAACATTTATATTACGTCTTGGTCACATTTAAGTTTGAAATGATTAACATTTTTTAAAAAATATATGAACATACAAGCAGGCCAAAAAAGTGCAATATGGAGATAGACTGGTGGTCATTTTAACTCGAAAGCAGAAAGCAACGGATAACCTTTAATTTTAATTTTAGGCTGGTATTTGGTTGCCTTTCTATAGAGGACATGCCCAAATCGATACAAAGCGCAGAGAGCCTTATTTGTACAAAGACGACGTTCAAAATGTCATAAGAAATGCTTTGAGAACTCGGTACCAACACGTTCCTGTTTGGTACACTTTGTTTTATGAACATACCAGAACCGGAGATCCGGTTATAAGACCACTTTTCTACGATTATCCCGAAATTATGGACAAAGATAATCACATTTTGCTAGGTAAGATCGTATCCCTTTTATTTAAATTGTCAACAACACTATTATACGGAATCAGTTTAAGATTATAATATTAGTCGTTTTCTTTTTACCACTAATCTGAGCTAACTTACATCGACTAAGCTTAGTTGTACCGATGTATAGTTGGAGCAGGGTTGCCAACCTGCCTTTACCGATTTACTCTCAAAAACTTTTCCGGATTACTCACAATTACTCACAACTTCAAAATATCAATAGTTTTTTTATATAAATTGTACATTTTGTACTCTTGCACTTTGGTTTGAATTTATTTTACTACCGTGCAATGTTGCCAAACATTAAAAGAGAAATTTTCAGAACATTCAAGAGTCAAAACAGATGCACCTTTTTTTCTGTGCATTCACTATTTTTATAACCAAGTAATATACAGGTTGATTCATAACTATTGAGACATAGGCTAAGGCAGGTTATTTGGACAAAAATATGGCGATAGGACCAAATATACCTTAATAAAATATTGCTGTGGAATAAGATACAGTGCATTAAATTTTTCTGATGTCACTGTATATCTGAATTAATTGATATCAAAATTGGCACAAAGGCATATTTTTCGACAAGGAATAATATTTTATGTATTATTTCACATTTTGTTATAGGAGGCGCCACGTGAATGATAAGTGATGATGAAATTAAGTGGTAGCTTTTTTACGAAACTTTTTAATATTTTTGATTAGAAAATTTCACCCGTTTTCGAGAAAAACGCAATTGAACAACTCACAAAATGTTTCATTTATCCAAAACACAGATAAAAAAGATTGGAGAATCAGAGTAGCTTCTTTATTAACGGGCTAATTCATAATAAATCATTATTTCTAATACTTAAAAAAATCTACTAATAAAAAAATATACTTTTAAAATGAACAAAAAAAAAAGATATTAATCGACGATTGGGACAGTCCCAATGGGACTATCACTATCGACACGAAACCTAGTGTTGTAAAATATCAAAATCACTTTTACTCTATTACATTGACCAAGCAATAGAGGACGTTGCAATTTTAAAACTATAAAATTGTAATGACTGCTAAAAGTGCTAGGGGGTAAAATAAGGCTTATATTGAAATTTTTAAAAAGATTTTGCCTAACTACCATAAATATACCCACGCTGACTTCCCGATTACTCACATATTACTCACAATTGCCCTTTACTCACAAAATTACTCACAGACTAGTAAATTACTCACAAATGTGAGGAATTACTCACAGATTGGCAACCCTGAGTTGGAGGTAAAGATAATCTTTCTTTTTCGGCAAAACAAAGAATATCGTATAAAAACACGTTTAACGGCGACCCAGGGACGGACTATTAGCTGTATGTTACGCTTTAAAGAGGAAATACATATTTAATTATCACATTATTCGCATAATTTCCTTCTTCGATTATTTAATAAATATCACTAAATTTAGTTTACTTACGAAATTGATCCGAAATAAATATTTACGACTTAGAATCGTCATGAAACTATAATATTTCATTTACTTGAAGTATTTAATTATTAAATTGAATATTAATAATCAATAAAGGATGTTACGAAAAATGCTTGAACAACTGTTATTAGTATCCTCTTATAAAAATTTAAATTACTGTGAAATATATTAGTCTGGCTTTAATTTTTAAAGTGATTGAAGCATCCAAGCCTTTTCAACAAGTCAAGGTTAGATTCCTAGAAAAATAAAATAGGAAGAAAACCATGTTCCTTTGCAAAATAACGTAAACCAACAGATATATGGTTATATCAAAACTATCATCTTTACTTGACATGTCATTCAGGTTTATAATGCAAGAATGTGCCTATAGGAGACCATTCTGGCCTCCCTTTCCAGCAGAATGTGGAGAGGGGTTAAGTCCAGCATGGTCTCCATGGCTCCCGTAGGTATAGTTGACATTGCTCCAGTTATGGCGAGGTACGCTAGCCGCTGTATTTCAGCCAGCTTTGCTCTGGCCGTCCGTTGGAGTCCCTTGTCCTTGTCCCAAAAGTAACCATGGGTTTTACCACTGTTTGGTAGATCCAATAGATCAGTTGAGGACTGATCCCCCATGCTTTGCCGCATATCCTTCTGAGAGTTCAGAGGGATAATCTGGCTTTGTTAACTAAGTAGTGGTCCTGATGAAATTACATCGTATTTCCTAAAACGTAGCATTTACTCTTTATGTATACTACCCACACTGTTTAATTTATCACTAAAACTTCAACATTTTCCTAACTCGTGGAAGGAGAGTTATGTTATACCTGTATAAATTCAGATGAATTGAGAACCTCCTCTTTTTTCACAAATATGTTCCTAAAGTAGGCTGTGTCCGATAAAGACAGTCCGTAGTCCATGATATAAGGCTCTGAAATAAATCCAAATTGACACATAAAAAGAAGAATTGTACGCTCAACATACCTTAATTTTTCCAAGGCCTACTTTAGAAAAAAAAAAATTGTGGATCATTCTTATCAATTTGCACTGGATAGTATGCAACCCGTTATACAGATATTACGCGAATAACAATGCAATCAATTTTATAAATACTATATCTAGTATCAAATTAATAAGGATCGAGTAGGAACTGAGGAAGAAGACAGCTAGAGGTAGAGGGTTCCGATAGACCTGTCACTTCGTTTCGTAGTTTCTTTCCAAGATTTTGTTAAAAAGGTTCAAATTAATTATTGACGTTTTAAAATTGTAATTATAAGATTGATTCACTTACCTGTAAGGAAGATCAGTCCAACTTTGTCGAACTGGTCCTCCTGTACAATTGATCACCGTGTAGTATCACGTTAATCATACTTCTTGGTATTTGTTAAAAAATGAAATGATTTTTACCAGACATCCCTGTCGTTGGGGTGCAAGCAATCCGTGGTGGATGGGACCCTGTTGTATATACAGGAGCTTAAGTTCAACAAATTTGGCTTAATCTTTCTTACAGGTAAGTCAATCAATCCTATAACTGTCTTCACTCATCCTCATGTGCAATTGATTCCTGTGGGGGGGGGGGGGGGGTTGATTGAGTTGTTTATTACATAATAAATGTGACTATTTCTCTACACCAAATATCAGCGACTATTTTTTTAGAGAAATAATCAATAATTGGTCTATTGAAAGAGTTGTACCAAATATAACACAACCTTGATTAATATTCTGTTATTTTTGTTGTTGCTAAATTACTCGAATATTTTACAATTTGATTCGACATAAATTTGGCATTAATAACACAGGCCTGCGTTTAAATACTCTGTAAAATGTGAATTGAACTTTTCAACTGAAATTGCGTATTTCAGTGATGCTGATTTCAAATCTGCTTTTAGTTATTTTCTATCACGTAAGGTTTTTAAACAAAATACTACAAGAATGCAAAAAGTAAAAATATATTTATAGAAAACAAACAATAAAACCGGGGAAGTAGTTAAAAAATAAAATACATTAATTCTTTGTTTTCTTGAAAAATCTTTCTCTCTTTCCGGAAAAGCTTCTTTTTGTTGTTTTTCGTATATATTCTGCGGTAGGACGGTCCCTTTTAAGCCATCCAACAGTAGTCGGCCATCATTTTGATATCCCAGTCCCCTTGATATCGCCGTTCCATCTCTTTTATGTCCTGGTGAAAGCGCTCCCCTTGCTCTTCACTGACATCGCCAAGATTATCCGGAAAATAGTCAAGATGAGCATGTTGAAAATGAATTTTTAAGCTCATGTTACAGCCTAACTTTCTAAATTTCTAAACAATACTTTCAAATTCAGGGTCTTTGTAGTTCCCTAGAAACTTATTTATAACTTGTTTAAAAGCTGTCCATGCTTCTTTTTCGTCTTCCTGCATAACCGTCTCAATTTCATTAGTTTTCATCAACCTTCTTATTTGTGGCCCAACAAAGATGCCTTCTTTTAATTTAGCTTCAGAAAGACCGAGAAATGTTTCACACAAGTACTTAAAGCAACCACCATTTTTGTCCCGATCTTTGACAAATTGTTCCATCAGCACAAATTTTATATGTAGAGGGGGTAATAAAATTTTCTCTGGATCAACTAGGCTTGCCCGAATTACGTTTTTGGAGCCAGGCGTTAAATTTTTTCTTGGTCCGGTGGTTATCTCTTGCTCTACTGTCCCACTCACATAGGAAACATGGGTTTTTCGTATGTCCGGATTGTTGACCTAAAAGCAACCACAAAATTTTAAGGTAACCACATAGAATCCAGTTATGTTGTCTGTAGTTTATTCTTAAAAGCAGTACCTCAAGATTTTCGTAATTTTCTTTTAGCTGAGTAGAATGACCAACAGGAACAGATGCATATAAATTGCCATTATGAAGTAGAACAGCTTTAAGATTTCTCTTTGAAGAGTCTATAAAAAGTCTACACTCGGCAGGATTGTATTCAGGAGCATCTAGGAGAATAACCAAGTCAGATACATTTTGACAATATACAAGTAAACCAGATGCGGCAAAGTAATTGACAAATTCAGCCTCACGATTTATATACCAATAAAATGTAGTACCTGGAGCAAGTCATTTTTTTTCTTTAAGCCTTGATCCTAAAACCTCAGAGAGGTCTTTTGGACGTCCCAAATCCCGGACTAAGTCATTCAGTTCTACTTGAGAAAATAGCTGCGGTTCACGAGTTCCTGAGGTAGATGGCTCAAAAATGTCAATTTCTGAATCTGTTGAAGATTCTGATTCGATAGACTGTAATACTTTAGGTGGAACAGGTACAGGTATATCAGCGTCATGTGGAACAGGTCTTATTGCAGACGAAAGATTAGGATAGTTAATATACTTTAGAGATTTTGTGTTATGACGTTTAATATCACAAAGACAAAAATAGCAGTCGTCAATGTGATTTTTAGGTTCTCTCCAGACCATTGGTATTCCAAACGGTAGGGCTTTTCTTGTTCCTTTAAACCAATGCCTCAAGGCTTCTTCGCAAATCTTGCAGATAACATGTGGCGCCCAAGGTTTATCTTGATCTCTCTGACTTTAAAATATGCAAAATATGCATTATTTACGAAATCAGTTATGTTTCTTTTAAACTTCTTCACTATAAAGTGTCCACAAATATAACAAAAGTCATCAGGCCTATTTTTACAACTCCTACTAGACATTTTTTTTAATAGAAAGTGCACAACGAAACACCGATAGAATTCGATAGACAATGCCTGTCTCAATACCACGGGGATACTAAATCTAAATATATCGCCCTCTTTCCTGAATAAATCGAGTCTCGGGGAATCCCCAACAATATTCTAGTAAGTACCGGTAAATCCCCCTACAAATGCGCAAATTAAAACGAGGTTTTAACGCGTCTCAACGTTTTGAACAAAAATAAGGAATTCAAATTAATTTGTTTGTGATGTTCTGGGATAATACTCTTGATATTAGTTTACAAAAAAAGTTTACGTGATAGAATAAAAGCGGATACAAGCAGGAAATTAAGAACTACAGACCAATTTTGATTTAATCCTCTATTCCAAAATTATTGGAGAAGCTGGTAAATAATTGTTTATCTTGGCACTGCAAAAACTTACTTATTGATCCGCAACAAGGTTTTACAAAAGGATAATCTACTAGAACTAATCTTGTTATTTATCACAATTAAGTACATAGTAAATTTTGTAGAAAACGGTTTGCAAGTAGATGCTATATATTCAGACTTCTTTAAAGCGTTTACTCAAGTTAATCACGAATTATTATTACTCATACTGCAAGCCTAGGACTTCCTCCTTTTCTTCTAAAGTGGCTTAAAAATTGTCTCATTGGTATAATGCAGCGTGTCAAGATAAAGAATTATTTGTCTGATCCCACAGAAGTTTCTTCTGGTGTACCGCAAGGGACCCATTTAGCTCCTTTACCAGTAGTGTTACTGCATTAATTTTACAAAAAATCGTAATCAAATAACACATAACTACTGTCTAGATAACAAAACGCTAATTAAACGTGTTACCAAAATTAAAGACATGGGAATCTTATTTTGTTCAGATCGTTCCTTTAATCAATCATATTATTCAAATTGTTAATAGAGCAATGAAAATGTTAGGTATGCTGATAATAAACTCTAGCTTTAGATACCTGTAGAATGGTTTATGTTGCATATGTTAGGTCGATTTTGGAGTACAGCTTCTACCATATGGTGTCCATTTTACAACAACTCTGTAAAAAGGATTGAAAATGTCCAAAATAAATATTTACGATATTGTGCCTTTAAACTTCGTCTAGCGACAGGTACATATTTATAATTAATCCACAATTCTGAACTGAACCATGATTGGATTTAGAGTTCCCACAAGAACTACAAGGAATAATAGTTTATTTGCAATTCAACTTCACCTCACTGATTATGCTTACCATGCGCCCCTACCCAGACTAATGAGACTGGCTAATCAATACAATTTAGATGTCACTGGGTGTTCAACTGGTCAATTCCAGAATGAGATTCCGGAAGGTGTACATTGTAGCTCTAGGTAGAGCTGGGATAAGGAGAGATGAGTGCAACATCAAAGGGAGATGATCGGAGGTGATTGTCTCTCCAATGAAGCATCTATCAGCAACCAGTCCTGTACAGGAAGCTGTCAAGAGAATGTGATCAATGATAGATAATCCTTGGTGAGATACAAAGGTCAGAAGTTGGTTTGACGGTCTGAATATGGGGTAGTCTATGAGTAGATTAGCTAGGCGGATTCCGTGTGGATTTGAGGCGTGATCTCCGAACATGGTATGTCTGGAGTTCAAATCTCCAAGCAAAACGGCGCTGGGAAGTGATGATAAGTATTCTATCAACCTAACTGCAAGCTTGTTATATAGTAAAATATCAGGAGCATGTTTGGGCTTGATGAGTTCGTTCGTGCTAAATCACGTATATGCGTCAAATACAGAGCAAGGCAAAACGTGCCTGAAAGACTTGTACGCTCGAACTCATTATCTTGCATCAACTTGTCCACGCTTATTGACTTACTGAGTTTTTCATTTTATACGAACTTGTGCATGCTTATTGATTTATTGAATTTTTTAAGTACAACAATGATACTTCCTACTATAATATTAGTTATTCTTATAACAAGTTGGTACATATTACACAACTTATACAGTATCTTAAAAGTTTCAAATAAGAACTTGTGTTAATTAATAGGAATCGAGTTTTAGACCTCGTTGATCCCCAAAATCAGTTTTCGTTCATGTCGATCACTTTGGGAATTCCTGATCTAAATTATCACATTTAGGTAATATTTTGTGAATAAACTTGTAAATCTATTTTTTTTTAGGTTCCGATATTTTAGCAAGACCCGTCATGGACAAGGGAGCTAAAAGTATTGATATAACTTTCCCTGGTAAAAAAGATGTTTACTGGTATAGAATCGATGATGGTTCAAACACAATACACCGAGGAAGTGAAACAAAAAACTTTCCTGTTGATATTACAACGGTAACATCATTTTTCTTACTATCTATTCGATATTTAATTTAATTTCTTAAAAATGTGACTTAATAATTAAACAACTCACAACGAAAAAGAGGCCACTTCCTTTTATTATTTTTATGCCACCGAATACAAAGATAATAGTTTACTTAGTACGCCACAATATTTCAAAAGAAAATTTTTGTTTCTAAAAATTCTCTACTAGAACAGTAACGATTAAAGCTCGTGATTGTTATCCTCTACGAATAGTTGATATCAACTTGATACCTGGAATTTCCGTATCTTCATCTGTGGCTACAGAGTCTTCTTGTCGATATATCAAAACGTTGTAGAGCATACCAGAAAAATAAAACTGGCGCCCGAGAAATCTTCATAACTAAGGGTTTAGTTAGAGCCAAGAAAACACCATAGAAAAGAAATTCACCAAATGTGGTCATCTTGTTTAGTACTAAAGAACACAAAATCAATCCCAATAAAACAATATTGTTTTATGTGGGATTTATTTTGTGTTCTGTGGTACTACCATCAAAAAGTTTAAACGTAACTTAAATTTTAAAAGTGGTTCCTTTTTTGTCTGATTAGTGTATACTTACTTGTATTGGGAAATAAAGTTGCGAACTGTGTGTATATTTTTAGTCACCATATTTCTACAGAGGAGGAAGTATAATAGCTAGAAAAGATACAATTAGGAGATCTACAACAGATACGCTCAACGATCCATTTACCCTTCATGTAAATTTGGATTCAGTAAGTTTTTTTTTTAAATTGCATTCAGTATGATTAAGTATACTATGTTTCAGGCTAACAAAGCAGTCGGTAGACTTTACGTAGATGATTACACCAGTTTCGACTATCAAAATAAGAATCTATACTGTTATTTAAGTATGACTTACCTACATGAAACTGGTGGTCTTCTAATTGAGTAAGTATTTAGTTAAAGCTAAAGTTAACTTCGGAACACACGTTTTGCAAGGTTACAAGTATAAGGTTGAATATTGTACAATACGCCATAAAAGTGTGACTTAATTTTGGTTCCACTGACAGATAATTACAACCAAGCTTTTAATAATATTTTACACATTCATTTTTAGTATTTTTATATTTTTATTAAATATCGTTCGCAGATCATAAAATAGCTATTTATGAAACCAATTACATAATGTTCAACATTATGCATGTGGTTACGTAAAGTAGAGCATTTTGACACTTGCTACGATTTCAAAAAATGTCAATTTATATGTCAAAATTAGAAAAAATATATTTCACGTAAATTTTAAAATGTCTAAAATAATGTCGGTGAAATGTAGATGAGATACTTTTATTATTTGGCAGTTCTGCAGCTCTACAGCACCAGTTGCGAAAAGAAAACAAATAAAAACTATTTTTGGTTTTAAAATCAATATTATTATTATCAAAGAAGGGCATATTGACTTATAAAAATAGAATTTGGTTAAACTTACAACTTAGTAATAATGTTGTTTTGGTCCTTTTTTCCATTCTAAATTAGCACACAATACACGACAAAATAACCCACTTTTTTGAAAACTAAGTAACTTTAATAAGCCATATAAACACACTATAAGTCGTTGAGAATAAATAATTATTAATATGTTTTATTTGTCAATGCATATGCAAATAACAATACAAGAAAGTAGTAATACTGTTTGAATTTCTTACCAAAACACAATTTTATAAATAATCTAGTCAAAATTACAAAAATATTGTATGTAATACGTTACGAAATGCTGTTTTATGTAACTCATTCATGATTTATGTTCAAATATGCACTCGTTACATAAGATAAGGAATTTCGTAACTGGTTTCATAAATAGCTATTTCGTAATGAGTCACATAATGTTCAATTTTATGTAAAGTAGATTTTAAATTATTAGATAAGAATAAAAAAAATAGGTTATTAAAACAAAGTAAATTAATCTGAAAAAAATGAAGAAAATTTCGAAGCGTCCATCTGCAATATGAAAATAATTGCTTCTCAAGGTTAATACCACAAGAGGTGAGAAGTTTTTGTTTTATTGTTTCTTTGGATAATTGGATAATTTACATAATTTGAATTTGTTAGAAAACAACAAAAAAAATTGTCATTTCGCGTGGTATTTCGAAAGATTATTTAACAATATAAACATAACTTCTATGTTTCCGTAAGATGAATCCTTGATAGCGCGCCACTGGTTAATTTTTTAAAAGAGTTTATGTCAAAATATTACTTTCTTAGAGAGCATATTGGTCAGAAAATGCTAAAAAAAATATTTAAAGGCATTTTTGATTTATAAAAAATTATGAACTGTCTCGGTTATTAAACCCTTTAAGGGTTCATATTCTTATATCAAAATTCGGATCGCGGAATTTTTGTTCTTTTTGTTCGAAGTAATTTTGTTCGAAAGTTATTTAGTTTGCAAACATTTTGTTCGAATATCTAATTTAAAAAAATATCCTTCCTAGACAAATGTAGTGAATTTCGAACAAGGCTTTGTAAATCCGAAAGTGCTCCCTTTTTTTTATTTTAAAATTTATGGCCTTGGCATTGCCAATTGGCCAGACTAATTTACATTGTTTGTATACAAACAATTACAAATCCGCAAAGTGCTCCTTATTTTTATTAATTATTTATACACACTAAGGTATATGTCTATTTTTTTAAACTCTATAAGTACAAATTTGTAGGAAAATAGGGCTTTTGATATAATGTACTTAAAAAATGGCTCCATTTGATCTGTTAAACGTTTATTGGGAAATATAAGCCGACACTCGACACAACGGCGGGTGTTCTTATTGAAATTTTTCAGAAAGTTCCTAGACACTTTGAAACACATTATACATAACAATTTTGGGTCCCCTGACACAAAATTTTTTTAACCAAAATCCTTAAAATTTGTTGTCGGGTCTCCACCATAAAACAAATGTGAAATAAACTATTTTCACTGATTTCTTGTTGTAGAAACGGCTAAATGTCAATATTGAACAATTCATAGAGCAATAAACTATACCAATTTTTTTTTATAAACGATTAAATTTTCTTAATTTTCATTTTGAAGTTTGTTAGAAAAACAAATACAGTAAATTATTTTCAATGACAATTGACGTTTCTAGTTTCTATAAATACAGTGTTGCCAAATCGAATAAGAAAACGTATACAACAGGAAATAGTTGGGTTAATGAAAGTTGGCTGTTTGGAAATGCCTGCAGGCCATACAGCGTAGCAGAAAAATTACATAGTGTCTGGCCGGCAGGTGAACTTGGATCCCGAAGTGAAAACATTTGTAGTAATTACAGACATCCGTCCTTTTATTTACTTTCATGATGTGGGTTAATTACGGCATGTCGGAACTTATAAACTGTAAAAATACGTTTTTTTTTTTTTAATTTGAGCTGTGTCCAAGCCGTTGAAGTCTATGCCTCTCGGCGTAGCCAGGTATGGGTTAAAATTTTTTTTTCGAAAATACGTTTCTTCGAAAAAGTCTAGTTCAAAAACACTATTTTTCTAAAAATCTTAGTTCCAAAATATTCTTGTTCGATAAATTGTAGCTCGAAAATACTTTTGTTTTTTTTTCTCATTTTCACGAAGCAACTCGCGATGACTCCAGGCCGTACAGGTTAGGTAAATTAGTTGAAATTTGTTTAATTTTTCTTATTTTATGTATATTTTTTGAGAAGCTTCCCGTGGTGACTCCAGGCCGTACAGTTGAGGTAAATTAGTTAAAATTTGTTTAATTTTTCTTATTGTATGTATATTTTTTGCGAAGCAACTCGTGGTGACTCCAGGTAAATTAGTTAATATTTGTTTATTTTGAAGGGCTCCTCAGGGTATTTCATTCGAAACAATATCTAACTTTCAACAATGTATTTCAACTTAAAAGGTACAAAATCATAAAACTCATCATGGCGTCATTACCGAACACTTTCGGCGACATAACCTTCTTTTTTATTTGGTGGTGATCTGTTACTTTTGGGAACAATTGTCAGTGGCCTCTAACATAAAATACTACTAGCAGAAAAACTACTACAATTTTTTTTATTTTATGTGTATATTTTTTGCTAAGCAACTCGTGAGGACTCCAGGCCGTACAAGTTAGGTAAATTAGTTAATAATTGTTTAATTTTTCTTATTTTAAATAATTACGCCGAAGAGTACTCTACCGATGAGGATGAGGATCTTGATATTGACATTTTTTAAATCGTTAGTTTTATACAATTTTTCTGATACTGAAGTCAGTTTATTGGCCTGGGACAACACAGGGCATAGGTAAAATTGACCATTAACATGTAATAATTGATATGTCAACATTGTATTTCTTTTAGACACACGTCACATTTCCAACAGTCATTGTGTTTACGAAAATTAAATAATTGCGACGAACTTACGAAAAAATTTGGAATATTATTATTGATGAGTTTCTATAACAAGAAATTAATCAAAATGTTGCAGTTAAAATTTTTTCAACATCGAAACTTTTGAAAGTTTTATTGTAAGAAAAAAATATTTTAAAAAATAATATTTTGACATGTGTTTCTGAGGGTTTATAATGGTCTAAAAAAATAGCCAGTTCAACCGATGGCGTATTTTTCCATAGTTTTAATAGTTCCAGGCCGCACAGGCTAAGTAAATTAGTTTTTTTTTTATTTTTGTCATTTTATGTAAAAAATTATTGCGAAGCTACTCGCGATGGTTCCAGGTCGTGCAGGTTAGGTAAATTTGTTAAGTTTTTCATATCTTATGTAAATAATGTTTGCGAAGTTACTCGCGATTTCTCCAAACGGTGCAGGTTAAGTAAATTGGTTAAGTTTTGTTTTCTTATTTTATGTAAAAAAAATTGCGAAGCTACCAACTATGGCTTCAGGGTGCAGGTTAGGTAAATTAGTTAGGTTTGTTATTACTTTAATCAGAATACTAGGAAAATATTTTTATTTTCATTAATATATTATACATTTAGATTCAACCATTTAAGATCAAGAAATGTATTAAATCATGTTTATCATGAAAAAAATGTCAATCAAAAGTCTGCATTGCATTTTTTGAAACAATTAGATATTCGAACAAAATGATTAAGATTAAAAAATCGAAGAAAATACTTTCGAAAAAAATGTGTTCGAACTAAATAATTTTCGAACAAAATGTGTTCGAACTAAATAACTGTCGAACAAAATGTTTTCTAACAAAATTCTTTCCAACAAAATTCCTTCGAACAAAAAGATTCGAATAAAAATTGTCGAACAAAATTCCGCGATTTTGAACTATTTACCTGAAATTGTTATTAACGTATATAAAATAATTTTGTATGCCAATGTAACCCGTCCACTTCGGTTACCTTTGCCGCAAAACTGTCAATTTCTGCGTGTGAAATGCGAGAACTGTGAAAAGCCTTTCCAACTTATGTTCCTGCTATTCGCGATTCAAACTAAGTGATACGCCCTCTGGAGGAAATTTGTAGAAGGTGTCTATGCCTATGCCTATAAGTAGGAAATCGTTCAGTGTTGCCAGAAGTAGCGAAATTTCGCTACATCGACGGATTTTAGCCCTTGAAGAATAAGACCTCTTATTTAAAAATGAAAATTTGTGTCTAGTAAATGTAATCATACTCTATATTTATTTAAGGATTTTTTTATAAATCCGATTTTTTACATTGATTTTTTTTTAAATTTCAGTTCATTTATTAATTTTGTTTTATTCAGTTCATTATTTGGCAACATTGGCGTTCGTGTTCATTGTTTATATTTTTATTTGTATCAATTTTAATTCGAGTTCACTCGTAAAACGGCCTTTCTTAAGAATTCAATAAAATTGAAATATGAGGTTAATGAAAGTGTCTTTTATGTACCTAAAAATTATAAAAATTTTTGACCGTCTGTAAAACGAGATATTAACAATCAAAATGTGCATAATTAACACTCTTGAAGTCCTGTCAT